CGCGAGGTGTTGATCGCGGGTATCTATGAGGCACTGGTTGACTGGGTCATCGTGAAGGCCAACGAAACCATTGCGAATGAGCTCCGAGCAAACCAGGAAGGTGATTCTGGAAGCGGATCAGCCGGCCAATGGTCAGACGAGGACACCGTGGGTATCACGGTCGTGGATATCCCTAGGCCTGCCTTTGGTAAAGCTGTGGCATTGAGAGGAGTCTTTGATGATACCCTTGGTATCAATGCAGAGATGAAGGAGGATGGCGTCCAGATTCCTCCCGTCGGACACTCTGTACTCAATGACTTGAACAATTCCGTAGCGCAGGTCGAGCCAGATTTGGGAATTACCACTGGCCCTGCCTGGCGTGAACGAGAATATGAGATCGACAAGAGGCAGGAAGTTCTGGAAAAAGTCGGGTTAGAGGTTGATATGGACTCGTTCCTCCGGCCGTTACTGTTTCCTGTGGAAGCTGAAGGGATTACTGTCGGCAAGAGAGGGCGGTTTGATCTCATGACTACCCTGGGTAGCAGTCGAGTCTGGCACCACATCTCGATCCATCCAACCGATGATACCCCTGACTCCTTGAACGCAGCCTCGCCCACCGCCGCCTGGTCTGCAGGTACTGTTTCTCGCCAAATACGCGAGTGGAGACTTGCCGAATGGGCCAATCGGCGTCTGAAGCAGATGGATTTTACGGCCGACTTTGACGTGGAGGAGTTTGTCAGCCGCTATTCGCGATTGGGCTGTAGAGAAGGAAGGGACGGTGTGGAGAGCTGGTTGATGGAAAGAGGCTGGACCAACGGCGACGCCTTTGTCGGCCATCAACGAATCTGGATGCGTGAGAACGCATGGTGGGAAGCGGAGACAATGCTCGATCTCAAGCCGGATGAAACACCCGGAGCAAACTCGTACATGTACGGCAGTGGCATGCTTGACACTGGCGTGGCACAATACGCGGCGAATCCCATGGCGGAGTCCGCCAGTCTCTTGGGCAGTCGGGATAACCTCCTGCAGAGACAAAGCATGCTGGCACCCAGTGTCGCAGGGGTAGCGAAATCCGTCGCTCCTAGTATGCCGAACACCTTGAACATGGCTGGTGACTATGGTCTCGGAACCAAGGGTGACACCAAAAAGTGGGAGAACCAACTTTACGACGGCGACTTCACTGGCGAACTTGATCCCGAGTTTGGTAGTCCCAAGCATATCGAGAAGAAGGAAATCACTTTCGGTCGGCGCGTCTGGTCAGGGTTTGTCTGGGCACTGACCTTCTGGATCCCATCCTTTGTCCTTCGCTACATTGGCCGCATGAAACGTCCCGATGTGCGGATGGCCTGGAGGGAGAAACTGGTCCTCGTCCTCCTCATCCTTCTCTTCAATGCCGTTGTGTGTTTCTATATCATGGCGTTTGGTGACCTGCTCTGCCCGAACAAGGATAAAGTCTGGAACTCCAAGGAAGTTGGATATCACCAGGGTGACAACGATTTCTATGTCAGCATCCACGGTAAAGTGTACGATATCAGCAAATTCTGGAGGCTTCAGCACAGTGACAACAATATCGACGTGACTGCGTCGACCATGGAGCCCTTTCGAGGCCAGAACCTGGATGCCTACTTTCCTCCCCCTTTGACTCGATTCTGTTCGCCAATGGTGACGGATCAGTCAATCAAGATCGCCTATAACGACACGACTGCTGACATGTATTCCTATGCAAATCACAATTGTGGTCCCCTGAATTGGCCCTCAACCACCAAGCTACACGAGATCACCTGGTATGAGAATACCTTCCTCCCAAAGATCCGTGAATACTTCAAGGGAGATCTTGTCTGGACAAGAGGAACCGTTGCAAAACAGGCCGACGACAGCCAGCGATACTGGGTCATTGTGAACAAAAACATCTATGACTTGACGGATTACTTTTACACATTGGATAGGATGAATAACCAAGACACCTACAACTTCCTGCCAAAAAGTGTCACAGATCTTTTCAAGAATTATCCAGGCACTGACGTGACCGACAAATGGGGAGATTCTGAGGACTTCAAGAAGTCTCAAATATGTCTCGACTATGTGTTCTACAAAGGGAAAGTGGATTTCCGCGATACCCCCCGGTGTACCGTCAATAACTGGATTCTGCTTGCCTTCACAATTCTCATATGCTCTGTTGTCCTTATTAAATTCCTTGCGGCTCTACAGCTTGGGTCCAAACGGCGTCCAGCCCCACAAGATAAGTTTGTCATTTGTCTTGTGCCAGCATATACAGAAGGTGAAGATGCGCTTCGCAAAGGTCTCGACTCCTTGACAGCCCTACAATATGACAACAAAAGGAAACTCATCTTCGTCGTATGCGATGGCATGATTGTCGGCGGCGGTAACGATCGACCAACTCCTAAGATCGTCCTGGACATCCTCGGCGTTGATCCTAAGATCGACCCCCCCGCGTTGCCGTTCAAGTCTCTCGGACAAGGAAGTGATCAGCTCAATTATGGGAAGGTTTACTCTGGTCTTTACGAATACGAGGGCAATGTGGTTCCATATATTGTGGTCGTCAAAGTCGGTAAGGAATCTGAACAAAACCGGCCGAAGCCCGGTAACAGGGGTAAGCGGGACTCGCAAATCCTTCTGCTCAACTTCCTGAACCGTGTACATCACCGTTCCCCGATGTCACCGATGGAGCTAGAGATGTTCCATCAGATCAACAACATCATCGGGGTCGACCCCGAACTCTATGAGTACTGTCTGATGGTGGACGCGGACACAAGTGTTCGAGAAGACTCACTCAATCGACTGGTTGCTGCTTGCGCGAATGATGCACGGATTGCCGGTATCTGCGGTGAGACGAGTCTTCAGAATGAGGAACGAAGCTGGTGGACAATGATTCAGGTCTACGAGTACTACATTTCGCATCACCTGGCCAAGGCTTTCGAGTCTTTGTTTGGAAGTGTGACCTGTCTTCCGGGGTGGTAAGTGTGCCCGATCCGTGACTTCGGTCTCATCTCAATTTACTGACGCGCTGGTTAGTTTCTGCATGTATCGTCTACGAACGGCAGACAAGGGTCGACCTCTGATTATTTCAGACAAAGTCATTGAAGAATATGCGGACAACGATATAGACACCCTGCACAAGAAAAATCTATTGTCTCTGGGTGAAGATCGTTTTCTCACCACTTTAATGACGAAGCACTTCCCTACTATGTCCTACAAGTTCATTCCGGATGCCTATGCCAGTACCGCCGCCCCGGAGACTTGGTCTGTCCTTCTCTCTCAGCGACGTCGGTGGATCAACTCGACGATTCACAATTTGGTTGAGCTTGCGGCTCTGAAGGACCTTTGTGGCTTCTGCTGTTTCAGCATGCGATTTGTGGTACTGGTTGACCTGATTGGAACCCTCATCCTTCCGGCGACCTGCGTCTACATAGGGTACCTGATCTACCGTGTCGCCAGTCACTCCGGCCCGATTCCATATATCTCCCTCGCTATCCTGGCAGGTGTCTACGGTCTCCAGGCCATCATTTTCATCGTCAAACGGCAGTGGCAGCATATTGGGTGGATGATTATCTACATCATGGCCTTCCCAATCTACAACTTTATCCTGCCATTGTATGCATTCTGGAAACAGGACGACTTCAGCTGGGGCAGTACCCGTATTGTCCTTGGAGAGAAGGGCACGAAGCGAGTTGTAGCAGTGGAAGATGAAGCATTCGATCCTCGGAGTATTCCTCTCCAACGCTGGGATGACTACGCCCTGGCGAACAATCTTCCAGGCCGTCGTGGCGACTATGGCGTCAGCCAGGAGAAGATGTACAGCCGCTACGGAGACGAGGCGGTCATGGAGATGGATGATCTTCATTCCACCTATTCCTCGGTGAAGCCGGCATCTACCATCCTTACTGGATTTCCCCAAGGCCGGCACTCGAGTCCGTACATGCCACCGCAATCGCCAGCTCCATTTGGCGGAAACATTCCGGGCAACCGCAACTCGCATCTCTCTAGCTTTACCAGATATACCGACAACCCACACCAGCGGAATATGTCCGTGGGCAACCTCAGCCACTACCAGGATAGCCCTATGGGCATGAGTCGGCACAGCGTGGGACTTATGCAGAGTACGGACAACCTGCTGGGGGTAGCGCGTCAGAATTCACGCAGTCCCCTCGGCGGTGGCCTGAACTCGAGACCCGTTAGTGCGTTCGACTTCCGGACTGGTGGTACCGGACCGGATGAGGGCGCCATTACAGAAGCGATCCGCAGCTGTTTGGCAGAGGTGGACCTGGACACGGTGACTAAGAAACAAGGTCAGTTTCTTTCCCCATAAATTAACTGGTATTCTTCCCTAACAGCTTTTTAGTTCGTGCTTTGGTGGAACAACGGCTCCAGACGACGTTGACTGGCGACAAGAAGGCATTCCTCGACCGCCAGATTGACCAGGAGCTGGCGAACATGTGAGGACATTGTGTCATTCCCTTTCCATCTTACTTCCATTCTCAACAAAAATACTCTCCCATTTAATATGCACTGTACCACGGCAAGTGAAGCTATGTCGCAAATAACTTTTCGGTATGGCATGCATGGCGTTTTGGGGAACTTTTTTTTACAAGCAGCAGCATATAGCCAGCGGTCATTACGTATTTGGTGATGGGCTGTTAATACCAAGTCAATGCCTCTAGTTTTTGCATTTATGTCTGTGGATTTATGTATGTATCGAAGAGAAGACATTCCATGTGCCTGTGGATAGAGAGATTTCTACATAGTCAGCCATGCCAATACACGAAATTGGAGAACATGCATCCAATCATCTGATCATCTCGATCTTGTCGACTGCAGTCAATGCTAGTGTGGCACATGAGGTGGGGTAATCAACGCATTCAGTCTATACTTTGCTTTATCCTGCCCATATCTCAAGTACACACACATAGATAGATATATATATAGCATTCACCAACACATCCACTCAAACGCTTCTGATCCAATACATATCATCATCACCCCCATACTTACAGTAACCAACAATGTCCACCCAACCACCACCACCACCACCACCACCACCTCAACAACAACAACAACAATCACCCACCTCCTCACCCACCCCCTCCCAGCGCACCCTCGAAGCCAAAGCAGCCTTCACCGCCTCCCTCCGCTCCGCCGGCGCAAACTACGATGCCGAGCTGCGCGACCGCGCGCGCACGCTGCACGAGAACGCCGCCGCGCTAGACAAGCAGGAGGCGGAGCTGCGGCGGACGACGGCCGAGCTGGGCCGGCAGAATGAGCAGTGGGAGAAGGTGGCGGATACGGCGCGCGAGGGGCTCAAGGAGATTGGGGACGTGCAGAATTGGGCGGAGTTGATTGAGAGGGATTTTTTGGTTGTGGAGGAGATGTTGAGGGAGGTGGAGGCTAGGGAGGAAGGGGTGGGAGAGGAAGGGGAGGAGGAGGAGGAGGGGCGGATGATGATGGATGGGAAGGGGAAGGGGAACGGCAAGGGAAAGGACGAGGGGAAGGGTGGGTGGTTGAGGTGGTGGTGATTCTTGAGTTCTGCTTCTTGGGTGATATCAAGTACGTGAAATTCTGCCTTTGCGTGGTCTCCGTCTTTAGGATGTTAAATACCAGGTGGCACCTCTGATAGGCAAGACGGATCAAGAATTTCGTAGAAGTCAGCCTGGTAGATTGTGGGTTATTCTGACGTGAAGGAGACATTTCCTCCAGAATCGCGAGGACAGTATTTCGTCCTATGGCCTTTGTGATCGCTATTATATACTTCACCAAAATGAGCTATCCAAAGAAGAAACAAACCAAAATCTGCGCACAGGTTCTATACCTCAGCCTCTTCATCGGCCTCGGCTGTGTCTTCCTCTTCCTCCGCGCTCATCCCCCCAATCTCTTGGTAATAGTTCCTCCATACATCCAAGCGGTCGACCTCGACCCGCCTGCTTTCTTCATCTTCCTCCTCATTGTCATACCCATGTTCATCCCAGTCGTCCCACTGACCCAGAGTCATCAAATGCCGCATGGTTGGTCGTCCATGGGGACAATTCCATGGCTTGTCGATCGTCCCCATGTTCCTCACAACCCGGACCATCTGTGCCTGGGTCAAGGATTTGCCGATCATAATGCTGGACCGGCATGCTCGCATCGCAAACATCTTGCGGACTTTACTCGGGCGCGGGATATGGGTCTGCAGGGCAGACCCGCTGCTGCTGGTTGCTGGCGTCTCGGATAGCAGAATAATGAGCTCTTCCAGATCCCTTACACCGAATACAACCTCCTTGCTCAGCGGCAAGGAGATTAGCTTGCAGCGCTGGCCGATTGGCTCGTTGCCGCTGTCGTCGACTTCAACGACAAATCCGTTCTTCTCCAACGCGGTTCGATTCTCGATTACAATCTCCTCCTCGACCGCGGTCAGGTCGAGTCGCTTGGGCTGGACAAGGCGCTGATTCTGTACCACTGTCTCAGCTTGAAGTCGCTCAAAATTGAACTTTTCGTCCGAAGCATGCTGGTCAATAATGAAAAGCTCATCCTTGGACTCAACGGAAGCATCATCCGACGGCCGGGTCGCTAGGATAAATCCGAGATTGAATTGCCCAATAATGCGCATCCTGGCGAAATCCTCCTTGCTAACCGTCAGTGACAACCGTTCTTCTGCTGTGACTGTCGCGGCAGTCACCGTGTCCTCCTGAGAGTAGTCTACATCCCTTCTGTAGGAACGGAGACTGTGCTGAACCTTTTTCATCTGGCTCTCAATCCTAGAAAGCGACCCGTCAACGGTGCTCATCAGATGGGCTGTAGAATCGCGATGGCCAGCCCCTTTGTTCAGCTTGTTTGCACGGTTGATACTATTCTCCTGAGGCAGCACTGCTTTTTCCTCTGCCTGTCGAATGAGCCGCTGCACCTCGGCTTCTTCATGTTTCTTCTTCTCCTCATCATTCATCATCTCCGCAACTGTAGCTTCGGGCTCGTTGACCTCATCATCCGGCACCTCTGCGGAGCGATCATCCTCCTTATTGGACGGACAATATGATCGGGAGCCGTCTTCGGAATCGCTGTCCGTGATCTCTTCATCTTCCGCTCTTTCGTCTTCTTCCTCCTCCTCCTCCTCAGCCTCAATGCTGCTAGCTTGCTCTATCTGCGATCCTGGAGCTGCAAAGGCCCTCATATGTTTGCCAAATATATTAGAACGAGACGGAGTGTGTATCCTCCTCTTGCGATCCAAGCCTTCGCCGGTCGAATCAATGGATCCTCCGGTCCTTTTCCTAGGTATTCCGCTTCCTACCATGGACGTAATTGTCTTGTTGCCGACGGTGATAGTGGCAACTTCAGCCGGCATACGTCTGGGTCGCATTCGATCGAAGGCGTTCTGTAGGACATTGGGTGTCTCCTCGAGTAGATCTGGTTGAGTTGAAGGGGTGTGCTGTCGAGAAAGCTCAAAACCATCCTGTGGCGTAGACTGCTCTACGGCGTCCCTCGACGACTCTTGTTCCTTGCCCGTCACCTTAGGAAGTTGGAGAGTCTCACGGGATGGTGTGCCACCCTCTGGAACGAATAAATCATTATCAACGGTCCTGGTCAGGGATTCGGCCTGACCGGCAGGGCTACTCGGCGCTGCAGTCGAGACCGGTTGTCCCGATTCCTCTCTGCGGACAGGAGACGAGGATGGAGTCGCTCGTCCCTGTTGTGAACCAAGGTTGCTCAGAAAGCTTTTCAGCTTCGCCTGGGAGCTCGGCTGACTCGATTCTGTGTCTTCTTCACCAGGGGGATGGTCTGGCTCTCCTGTCATAGCCTCCTTCTCGCTTGAAACCCTGCGAGGGGTAACTGCCTGTAGTATCCCAACCTGCTGTTTCGGAGCGGGTTGCTTATAGCCAGCTATTTGAGATTGAGGGACAGTCTGATCAGTCGCTTCGAACATATCTGTAAGAGACTGCTTGAGGGAATCTATCAATGCTCCCGCATCATGCAGCAGGATTGTGCGTTTATCAGGGGACACATTCACATCATAGGCATTTGTGTCCATATGGAAGTCCGCAAAGACGAAGGGAGACTGCGACACATTGAAAGACTTGTAGACCTCATTGAACGCCTTTGCAATTTGCGGCAGACCACAGGGCCGGGAATTCACAAAGAACATCTGACGATCCGGCGTTTGCCTTCCTTCACCAAATACCGGACGAGAGATGTGCCCTTTGACCTGGATTGTATGGAGCTCGCCTTCAGCTGTCCGCCTTCCTGCAGCGGATGGCTCAAATTCCAAGGTCAAGTCCAGCGGGATGAGCGCCAGTAGAGTTTTCGCGCCGTAGACATTGGCGATATTCTCCTTTGTGGTTTGGTTGCCATTCGTCGAGAAAACCACCACATTCCGATTCTTTCCCACTGTGTTCCGGACGCTGAAGCGTACCCCCGTGCTAATGCAAGCATAGGCATGGAGCAGATTCAAGACCTTCCCATACTCTCGCTTGATGTTCTTTTCCAGCTCCCGGCGGCGGACGGGGAGTTTCTTGAACAAGCCCTCCACCGAGGCTGTTGTGCCCTTTTGACCCGCGACTATTTGGGTCTTCGACAGCTTCCCCGATGTTTCGAATTCGAGCTTAGTCGCCTTGGGAGCTTGATCGGCTTGGGCCGTGACGATGCGAAAATCCGCTAGAGCACACAAGGACGAGAGAGCTTCGCCTCGGAAGCCGAAGGTGTGTAAGCGGGAGAGATCCTCGTAGGACGAGAGTTTCGATGTGTAATGTTTCAGAGCTGCCAAAGGTGAGCAACACTTCACAGTCAGACTTGGAATATCGACCAAGGGGAGCTTACCGACGTTCTCGTAGTTCTCCGGTGATATTCCGCTTCCATTGTCTTGTACCTCGATCGACTCCAGTCCGTTGTTCTTGAAACGGACCTCTATGGCCAGGAAAGCAACAGTGGGTCAATATGCTATCGCATGACATATCTTTGATGGTTTTTCATGATCCTACCGATTGATGTTGCGCCAGCATCGAGACTGTTTTCCACCAATTCCTTCACAACGGAGCACAAATCGACAATCACCTGACCGGATTGAATCTGGTGAACCTGAACGCCAAATAGGGGAATTAGCCAACCGGACGCTCCCACCAGGAACGAAGGGAAATTAAGCATACCGAACGGGCCTCGATGGCCTTGATGGTCGCCATACTCATCCCATGGTGGCGCCAGTTAGAATGACGCGGGATTATGCGCGTCCCACGCGGAAACTTTACGCGGAGTTCGTTATCAGTGGCTGATAAGCTTTATCAATGTTTCCCTACACGGTCTATCCATGCGACTACAGAGATTCCAAGTTTGACTACAGAAGGTCATCTGACAAACTGATTATCTGACTATTCTCTTCTTGCATCTAACGCTCGAAGATGATCAACAAGGAAGCAATTCCTATACATATAATGCAAAACGAGTGAAATGAGGGTGCACCTCTGCTCAAACGCCAAACTCCCAAACAAAATCATCCAATCAGTGAATGAGGAAGCAACGCCCTCCAACTTAATAGATATCGAAACGATCGGGCAGAAGAACGGGGGCAATCAAGGTCCACAGGTAGATCGCATAGCACACCCAAGCGCTGATGATCTTCACCCAGCTAGCCCAGTACGTTCTGCCCACAGGCGCAAAGTCCTCTGTGGTCTCAGGATCCAGACGCTGGGTCAGTAGGGTAGCTACCCAAGTCGTAGCCAGGAAAAATATAATGTGGAAAAGAGAGTAGTTGTATTGCGTCGAGCCCCTCTCGTCATCCTGGGTATTATACTCATCGCACTCATCGTCACTCTCGTCCAATGCACTAGCCGGCAAACTACCGCTCTCCACAGCAGCACGAAGAGCCTCAGCACGCATCTCACGGCGACTGGGCTGCTGAGTGACGAGACCATGTTCGTTGTCGTCAGTTTTCAACTGCGCGTACTGGCCATGGGCGGCTTGAGACCCTAACATAAGGCTTTGGGTGGCGGCACGGGTCGTGGTATATGCGATAGTCGCCATGGTGACGATGGCACCCACAACGACAGTGGCCGTTCGTGTGCCTCGGGCGCGGATCAGAGGGTTGCATTGGCGGTCATCAGGCTCCATCGAAACGGCAGACATGGTCAAGTACGTGCAATAAACCGTCACCATTGCCGCTTGCGCCAACCCGGCCCGAGGATTATGTTCCTGCACCACAGGTTGAACGGATACAACCGAGATGATGAGAAAGACGATGAGGTTGATCTGTGAAGTCATGAGCTGAGGTTATAGTAGTCTTCTGGTTCGTCTGGGGGGATACTCACCGTAATAACTGCTTGATTCATAGAGCAGTGTTTCTTAGCGAAGAACACATACATCAGGACGGTCATCGCAATCGATGCAATGTACATGCCGAGCGTTGAGCCGATGAGCAGTCCGCGCCACAGCCGAGAATCATTGTCCTCAATCTTCTGCAGGCAGAGTTCAGCCCATGAATGCGCCAAATCCACCAGAAGAATGAGTCCAAGAAGGAGGAAGAGCATCGCACAGAAGAAAGCGATGTAGTGACCGTATACGAGGAAGAACGACTCCGGGATGAAGAACGACGTCACGACGAGGGCAATCCATAAGATGATCTTCGGGCCCCAGAAACCATTTTGTAGAACAGCCCGGCCATTCCTGGACGATTTCACGCCAAGCAACATAAAAGCGAGAATGAGATGGAAGAGGCCGAGACCGAAGTTGATACGATGAACCGCCACCCAACCATGACACTCTTTCCCGTCGCACCGTATTTCCATGTAATCTAGCGTCATATGCTCCAACTTCTTCAGCGCCCATGGTGTGAGCATTATCCAGGAAACGATCGAGTTGATCAAGAGAATGAATGCATAAGCGATTCTTGTCATCATACTGTTTGATTCGGCGAACAAGCGTTAGCGACTCGCTGACTTCTCTGAAGTCTTTTGAACCGAATTCAACACAGGATTATTACCTGTTCTGAAACTTTCCGCAAGCACTGCAAACCGCCGAACATGTTGCGGCTCCACAACACGAAGTTGCGACAGTGATGAGCTACTCCAGGTGTCAGTGTACCTATCTGAACGACTCCGCCAGTGACAACATACCGTACTGGCGCTGGGGATAGTCAGCAGAGGCAAGGATAATAGAGCTCCCATGTTGTCGTAACCTTTGGTGTCCCAAATCGAATATGACCTTCAAACCGAAGGATAAGATGAAGGGGTGCGATACAGCTCGAGGTGGCTGCGATCAGGCGGCTGGAATTGGAGAGAGATGGATGCCGCTATCGTCATATTGCGCATCAGGTGACCCGCCTTTCCCGCTAGTTGCCTGAGGCCACATGGAGTCATGTGATAGTACACGTAAGCTCAGGTTATCGGAGATAACGATTAGACGTTCTGACGACAGCCATACCTAGATTGGTAGGTAGTAGTCAAGTGTTCACACTTCCGGCCACTCGACCTTGTCTCCAGACGCAAAACTGTTCCGCTCATTATTATCACTTTCATCATCTCTCCTTTGGTTACTTCCTTTGTCCCTAGTTTAATTGTCTAATCACACTTACCAGACAGTTCACTGGTATGAACTCGCTCTGGTTTGTCTGTTGACTATAGATCTTTCTTGGCGATTGCCCTCCAACTCCTATCCATATCGCAGGCTGTCCCTTGACATCTGTGGCGTGGTAGATATCTGCTCTTACTTCTACAGAAATCATCTGGAGGCCTCCTTTCAAAAGCCCATGTTTTGAGAGTCGAGTTTCGACAGACAGTGCGCCAATTGATAGCTATGACGGGCTCAATGCATCAGTCAAGGCGGATAATATCCGTTATCGCTGGGACACTCGCTGCACTTGCCTGCGGTACTAATGTATGATCCATCCGTCAAAAGCATCATCGTAGAGTATATGCCAATTGCTGAGTTCTCGAACAGTATGCATACTCCGCATGGGAACCTCAATTCGCGGATCGGATGAAGCTCTCATCAACGGAGAGTAACTTCGTTGTAAGCAATCCCGCCTGCATTCTACTCAGCTCATAAAACGACAAATCTCACTCCTCGCAGGGTGCCGCAGGTAACCTGGGCATGTATGCGTCAGGAATCCCTTTGGGGTTATTAACAGACGCTCGGGGACCACGGCTTACGACAATCTTGGGAGCCATCACACTCGGCGTTGGGTATTACCCAATCTATCAAGGTACGAATTACGATTTTCGTTCAGTGCTGACTTTAAGACTGATGTATCATTCTTGAAAACAGCATATGTGCATGGGGAAGGGTCGCTGGGTGTGGCAATGCTGTCGTTTTTCTCTTTTCTCACTGGTTTTGGAAGCTGTTCGTCCTTTTCGGCATCTATTAAGACAGGTATGTATAAAGAATAAGCATGTTCAATTGTCATACTGATGCTGAAAATCATGGAAAACAGCGGCTTCCAATTTCCCTGATCATCGAGGCACAGCAACTGCGTTTCCCCTGGCTGCATTTGGCCTGAGCGCCTTCTTCTGGTCCACCGTGTCTGCGATTATCTTCAAGGACGACACGGGCAAATTCCTTCTTCTCTTGGCCTTAGGAACCTTCTTATTAAACCTTGTCGCTATACCATTCCTCCGTATCCTGCCACCCCATGGCCCATACCAGCCTTTGTCGCACCTGGGGGACGCCATCGTCGAATCCCGGCCGTTGCGTACTACTAGGTCCACTGAACTACGATCTTCTTATCAGGAAGTCTATGATGAAGCAGGTACGCAAAGTTCTAGTGTGTTTGAATCACAACCCCACACGCACGCTCGATCACCCTCACACGCCTCGAATTCCCACCATCATCATGTCAATAGCCTCGACTCCGACGAGACATCTTCCTTGGTGTCTAAACCGATCTCGAGGCTGTCTCGAGATGCCCTGGATGGATTTCGCGCAGATGAAGACCTGCCCCATGTGACTCTCGACTCACCTCACCCAGACGTTAGAGGCTTAGCGATGCTGCCGAAAGTAGAGTTCTGGCAACTCTTCCTCACAATGGCGCTTCTTTCTGGAATTGGATTAATGACAATCAAGTTGGTTCCCTTCCCCAGCCTAATTTTTCCGACCTTCTTAAGCGGAATACTAATCCTACATTTTTCTTAGTAATATTGGCAACAGTGTAAGGTACCTCGTGCTACTGTCCATGGGTTTTTCTCTAATGCCTCGTAGACCAAAGCTCTCTGGCAACATTACGATGACAGTGCGAGCTCCCAGTTCATTCATCAGCGACAGGTTATGCATGTTTCCATCTTATCCTTTGGCAACTTCATTGGTCGCCTCTTGAGTGGTATGTCCCCGGTCATTCTGTCCATAGAATTAGTGCGAGACTATATTTAACCTTATCTGCAGGCATCGGGTCCGACATGCTAGTCAAAAAATTGAACATGTCCCGATTTTGGTGCTTGTTCATTTCTGCAACGGTCTTCACGGGAACTCAACTTGCGGGAGCCGCAATCTCGAACCCTAATCAGTTGGTTGTAGTTTCGGGGTGCACCGGCGTTGCATACGGATTCCTTTTCGGTGTCTTCCCTTCGTTGGTAGCTCATACGTTCGGAATCGGAGGTCTCTCTCAGAACTGGGGTGTGATGACCCTTGCACCAGTTCTTAGTGGTAACCTTTTCAACCTAATCTACGGCAGCATCTATGATAAGCACTCGATTGTCGCCCCCGATGGCGAGCGAGACTGCCAGGACGGCTTGGCCTGTTACCAAGGTGCTTATTACATGACTTTCTTCTCTGGCGTTGCCGGAATCGTCGTGTGCCTGTGGAGTATCTGGCGAGAGTACCAGATTCACCAAGCTTTTCACAGAAAGGTCGAACATGACCGTCTCGCTTGATAGCCTGCAAAAATTGAAGCAGGCCGACATTTCTCTTGAGCGATGTCCAAGCTTCGCATGACGTCGCACGTATTACCCTTCCTGACATTCTCTAATACTTTTTACTTTATAATTCTGTGATGACTTTCTGGGCGGTTATATAGACGGAGAGGCTTAGAGCGCATCTGGTTTACATCCTTCCCTTCATTTGTCTGCTTCGTTTCGGCCCGATTTCTGCCACCATTACTCGCTCCATACCATTTCCCCTTTCTGAACAGGTTTCAGATACCGTCGCAAATCAATGTACATACGCCTCGGATCGTTCCTTAACTACCCATTTCCCAATGGATATCGAAATATAGACAAAAGGAGTAAGAACTGTGGATAGATCGTATATTTACCGGGACCGCCCACATCGTAACTGACCAAGGAGACGTTTTCGTCAACTTATTAGAAAAAGAAATATCGAAGAACTAATAGTACACTGGAAGAAGAAAAATAGCAAACATGGAAGAAGTCATCAATCGCCAAAGCTGGAGGTCTTCGACATTTCGGCTACCCAAAAAAGACAGTCAGATTCCTTGAACAGGGAAAAGCAAGAGCGAAAAAACGAGGGAACATGGAGGGGAAAGGCGATGAACGCAGGCCACGGACCGTATCATCCCTGCTTTCGCTTTGGCGAGGATGAAAGCGAAACGAGGGAATCGAATACCGTGCCTGCACTCCTGCCCCGACCATTTCCTCTAGCCGTCTCACTCTTTTCGACTTATGCCTGATCCTCCCTTAGGCGACGGAGAGACAAGGCTCTGGGAATATAAATCAACAAATTGATTGCGGTGGGAATAATTAGCAGACAGAGTAGTGTTCGCGATTCGCTCCTTTTTTCCTTTCCCTTTTAGGGAAGTTGAATTTTTCAAGCATCGTTCGCTCCGCGAAGTGCTTTTTTTACCTTTTAAGATCCGGGTGGGAGGTCGTCCTCGACAAAAAAGTCAGACAGACCTCCCGAAGAACGAGCCGAGAAATAGACAACGAGGAAGTGGATGGATAACACAGATATTAGGTTAATCCGACTTATATCCAGCCAATGACATACTCGTAAAGGGTATCAAGAAAGTTCAGGGAAGTCTGAGGGTGCAGCAAGACGGGGGGTACTTTTAATGTTCTGAGGCGTTGCAAAGGTCGGTGCCACTCTTTCCACGAATGGTTGACCAGTCCCTGGATTATATGCTCTTCGGCGACTTCGTTGGCGATGCGGACGACTGTTCTACCATGTCGGACAACCTTATTTTTTTGGACAGGGGTTCGCCGGGGCTGTCGTTGTTCGCCGAACTGTTCAAGTTGGCCTGGTCGGCTAACTGCCGCTCAAGGTCACTCACGCGTCTTTTGAGCTCTTCTTCTCGACGCTGCGCTTCTTCGAGAGACCGACGAAGACGCGCTTCCGAATCGCGGACGATCATCTCGGACCGGCGCGCGGTCGCGTCGCTCTGTTCGAGCTCCGCAACGCGGCCCCGAAAAAGCCCATTGATGAGTTCCAATTCGCTCACGCGCGTTTTCAATGATGCATTTGCTGCAAGGAGTCCCTCGTATGTCTGCGGCGCATCGGCATGACGGTCTACCGCTGCCGCGGAGGTCGATGTGGGAGACGGTTGATGCAGCTGAAGGGAGGTGATGCCATTGGGCGGATTCAGAGTATGGTCGGCGAGTGTGACGCTGTCGAACATGTGCTGGGGCGCAATGTTCGAGGTGTGTTGATGTTGCTGTTGTTGCAAGGCAGAAACTCCGGGAGTGTCAGTCCGGGACACTGGTGAATTGGACCGATCCGAATGGCCCGGCGACGTCTTTCGCGATGCGCGACGATAACCCTGCGACCCCAGAGGTGGTGTGCCGTCTTCGGACCTCGATGTCGGAAGACCATTCGCATCTACAGCACTGCTTGACTGAAGGAACACGATGTTAGAATTCAGCAACCCTTATCTGCACAAAGCCGGGGTACGATGGCGAGATAAGAAAAAATTTTAGTCATCAAGACTCACCTTACGCTTAGGGCCTTGACCGGCGGTCTTGACTCTATTGCGACTCTTAATCACATCAGTCTTTAGGCTTATCGGACGAGGGCGGCCATGCAACTTGAGAAACAAGCCACAAGCGTTGCAAAGGACCGAGCCGAGTTCATCTCTTCGCCAGAGCGGCGTGGTCGAGGTACCACAATTCTGGCAGACAGGCTGTAATTGGGGGCGCTTCTGGTCAGTCAAGGTTGTCGCCATAATTTTGCGAGATCGCAATAATTGAGAGAAAGTGGCTGAGGAAGGAGAGAATGGGTGGGAGTGAAGCGCCTGATAGTGGATGGATTGGGAGGGAAGATGTGCGATGATGGGTTGATAAGATCGGGAGAGATTTGGTGATAAGAAACTGGCAAAAGCGGGTGGTGTGCGGGTGCTGCAATACCAAGACCGCAGATAACAGAGAGTGACAAAATCAGCAGGGAAAAAAAAGGGCTGAGAGAAGCAATAATGACACGCAGATAAGGCCGAATCCACACATGCGATAAGAAAAAACACTCTGTCGATAGTAATTATTATAATTGAATTGACTGCTTATTCACTTACTGGATTATTGCCTTGTCCACCAGTCATGGCTGCGGGGGAAGAAGTTGCGTAAGTCATGTTGGCCATGGGTAACTTTGCATCGCTGTTGGAGGCACTAAGCATGTAAGATCTTGTCAGCAAAGATAACCAAACTGCCTGTGATAATGGACCTGCGACCTTCCCTTTTTGATCGGGGATAGACGCAGGACTGATTTGCAAGAGAAGAAAATTTACAAAGTGTGTTAACCGTAGAGGAAAGTGAAATCAATGAGAGATCCAACTTCCAGTACTACAATATCCTTGTTTTGTCCAAGAGAGGGCCCGAAGGCGACTTTATCGCACGATACCGGGAAAGGTGTACATACCGCAGATTAGATGTTGGAGCAGACGCGACTGAAGCCAGCGCAGAGAGACCCGGAAGAGAAGGACCAAGAGAGTTGGGACCTGGGAAACTGCTCCCAATTCCGTTGTAGGTGTCGAGGCTATAGTTTGATTGCTCTAAGCAGTACAGATCAGCCCCGATATCGACCAATTGTGAAAATCTCGGCGACGCACCCGCTATAGCATCCGCTCCCGGTTGCTGAGACGTAGATTGATCGTCAATGGAAGTGGTACGGTTGTAGCTGGCAAGATCGTGGGTCTGGGGAGCAGGCGGAGACGAAGGATGGAGGGCTGGGTCGATGGGCGACGCCCGGAAAAGAATTGAAGCCACCGTGTAGGGAGTATTAAAGATTTGCTATAAATTCGGTCTTTGTCAACCGAATTGAGATGATGGAGGCAGGGAAAGAGGAGATCGGGTGTGCTGGTCGGTTGTATGCGTCGTATCGGAGAGTTCTCGTGCCAGTAACGCAGGGAGTCCAGCCTCGTCGAGAAAGGGGAATGGATGAGGTGGAATGTCTTTCAGTGCCTCGGAGAAGCAGAGATTATACAAAGAAGAATTATCAGATGAACTCGTAGCTTTTCCTGATTTCGTAAACAGGAAAAGGTCAGGGAGTGAAAAGCTCTCAGATGAGAGTGTCCCAAGATACACCGGAGGAGGAGGACTGCGAAGGAGAGACAGGCAAAAGAGCGACGACAATTACCATAAAAGGATCCGTGAAAGCACAATTGGAATTGGAAGGAATATGGTATGAGGACAAGAATAGAGGACCTTTTACAGAAAAGAGTTACACGAGACGGAGGAAACCCTGAGAAGAAGTTCGTAGTATTATCGGACCTGCTATCTATCTAGACTATCGCGCGTTTCGGAGACTATCGATTATTTATCGCAATCGCTTGTCGGGACGGTTGCTTGGCAGTATAGATCTTTAACTATTTGGCTTTATTGTAAAGCCATCATTAATGGTATTCGTCTGCGCCCTCTGGGTTTTCGTCCAGACCAATATACTGTTTAGTGTGTTCGGTATGTCTAAGCCTAGGTTTAGTATACTTCAGTCAGATCATGGATGTGCGATGGACGGCTTGGAAAGGCACTTCTTACACCGAAAAGCATTAGAGCTATTGCTCATCGACGCAACATGCAGGGCATGCCAACGTAGGATAAGAAGCGAGGACCCAGATGGTAGCGATATTGTTATTCATGCCCCTGCGTCCCCCTTCCTCCCACATGTTTGCAGGAGCGCAAAATCTCATTCGAAACTATGCGTACGCGCGAGCAATGAGCTACATTGAAATCCCTTGATCATTCCTCGAGATGCAGAATGAATGGCTTCGGCTTTGACCCTGACATGGTCGCGAAATGTAAGAATGGACTGATAGGCCAAAGATGTCCGGTTGATAGAAGGTGCCTCGAGCTTGAAGCATTATTAAGGTATCGAGGCAGCATACTCTATCCTCTGTGTCACGGCTCACGGCATGCTTCAATCGCACATACGATCCTTTCCCCACTTCGAGCGACTTCAAGACACGTCCTTCCGCCTCAGAAGTCAACAAACTTGAGTTGGACCAAACGTTCTTGTCAAGGTCATGAGTAGATAGCATTTGGCCCCTTGTCTCTGCTCACTTCAGCGTGCAGGAAACTGAAACGCTGGCTGGAAATGTACGTGGGCTGTACTACACAGTGATACTGAGTGCGATATCACCTCAGTCTCCAGGTCTCAATCCAATACTTGTTATCACTATTATCATCTAGAGGGGTATCTGCGGTAGAAATCGAAGTGACTGACTAGTTACTTTTGTTATATCCTAGCTTAACTGCCGACCGGTTGTCTCTAATTTCAGGGGCTTTGTTTAAGCTCTTCTGCAAGTGGAGCCACACGGGATAGACTTGTGGCGGTGCAGTACTGTAATTTTATTTTAGCTGTGGCTGACTCAGGCTGGACTGGTCCCTGATTTGTAACCATACGGTAAAAACCATTTGTTCATCCAATGGATCATGACGGCGGTGATCGAACGAGACTAAGTCCAGGTAACCCTTTTCTTCCTTCAACTGCATCAGTAGAGTTACTAATGCCTTGAGTGTCTTTGCTCTTGTCTTTCTTTCTTCATTCTCGTCTTTTCTATTCTCTTTTTCTATTCTTCTAGACTTTCGTGTTTCTTTTTCCTCCTCGCCTTTCTGCTTCAGATGAGCCCAACGCCGTTCGCCTCCCGGGCTTGCTGAGACAATCTACATCCATCATGCCTAAAAATCGTCCCGCGACGTCCGGTTATGCCCGTCTTGCTCAGGAGGAAGAAGATAGAGCGAACGATGCATACTATTATTCGGAAGATGAAGATGACTTGCACGGTCCTTCCAGTACGATATCGCAATCCGCCCCACGATATGCCCCGATCTCCACTCGAGCCCAGATGGCTCCTGCCTTCTCTTCGCCACCAGGACACCGAAGGAGATCGAGTGGACACTACCACCGTGGGCGTCGAAACTCTGGTGTCGACATTAAGGCCATCAATGCGCGTCTCGAACGTTGGGCCGAGGACTTTGCTTCGAAATTCAAGATCAACAGATTCAAAGGGAAGACACTGGAAGAAGAGAAACTCGAGATCTACCATTCTGTTTTCCAACCACCAGATGGCGTTAGGCCGATTTCCGCTGAAGCTCTCGAGTCGGAGGAAGTTGAACGGGCGCAGCGACAAGCACGAGAGGAATTCGAGGCCGTTGTTGAAAGTGTCCGTACCGCCATTGAGTTGGGGGTGCATCCCCGAATGATATCTCAGGGTAGCTCGGGAAGTTATTTCGCTCGCAACAGTGAAGGGAAGGTTGTAGGCGTCTTCAAGCCCAAGGATGAGGAGCCTTACGCATCTCGCAATCCGAAATGGACCAAGTGGCTACACAGGAACTTATTCCCGTGCTTCTTTGGCCGTGCGTGCTTGATTCCTAATCTTTCATATGTCTCAGAGGCTGCAGCATATGTCCTCGACTCTCGATTACGCACCAACCTCGTTCCATACACCGATATCGTATATCTATCCTCGAAATCCTTCTTCTACGACTTCTGGGATCGAAGAAAAGCTTGGATGGGCAAGAAACCGCTTCCTCCCAAGGCTGGTAGCTTCCAGGTTTTCTTGAAGGGTTATAAGGATGCGAACCTCTTTCTGCGCGATCATCCCTGGCCAGACCAGACCAACACTGGGTTTCGTGCCGAGGACGCTCCAAAGCGTAAGAAGCGACCTTGGAGCGAGGCTTGTCGCCCGTCGGGGATACACTCGGACGATGAAGACGAGGACGATGAAAACAATTATGCACCTTCTCCAGCGCCGCGGGACGAGAGTGGGGAGCGGCGATTCTACTGGACTGAACAGCTGAAGCAATCCTTCAGAGAGGAATTGGAGAAACTGGTTATTTTGGACTATATCATGCGCAATACCGATCGTGGGTTGGACAATTGGATGATCAAAATCGACTGGAAGACAGAGGACGTGTCCATTGTTGCCGAGCCGCCCAAGTCCAACGGGACACAACAGGACGATGATGACGAGCACATGCCTCCAGCTCGTCCTGTTTCCACCAGTCCTGAGAGGACTGGCACTGCATCCTATCCGTATAGACGGCACGAGACTATGGTCGCAGTGAGTCGCACCGGAACACCGCTCAATTCAACGGAGCCACAGGCGACTATTCAGATCGGGGCTATCGACAACAGTCTGTCGTGGCCGTGGAAGCATCCGGATGCCGTAAGTTATTCTCTTCCCCAATTCTCAGATAAGATTTGCTAATTTGACACAGTGGCGAAGCTTCCCTTTTGGCTGGCTGTTCCTTCCCGTTTCTCTAATCGGCCAACCCTTCTCTCAGAAGACCAGGGACCATTTCTTACCACTTTTAACATCCACGGCCTGGTGGAGTGGGACGCAGATGGCGCTTCGGCGTGTCTTCTCGCAAGACGCCGATTTCAAGGAGAGCATGTTTGCAAGGCAGATTGCAGTCATGAAGGGACAAGCCTGGAATGTTGTTGAAACTTTGAAGCATCCGGATCATGGCCCCTTGGAACTGACGAGAAGGACTAGAGTCTGCGTATGGGATGATTTGGTAGATGTTCCGGTCGCTATCCCCCTTCGTGGACAATCATCCACCGATGCTCAAAAGCGCAAAATGAGGCGCTATGACAGTTACGACAAACATGACGATTACGATCCAGACAATGAGGAAATGGATATTGGCGCTGCCATGTCCCTGCCGTCGCAACCACAACACGACCTTTTGGGCCTTCATTCCCCTCCGAGTGAGCTTCCGAACCCGAATCGATTCGAGCTTTCGCGCAGCCGAGAGCATGAGGAGGAGCCCACGCGGGATGGTAGCCCCGTCACACTGGGCCGTGACAGTGTTGATGGTCTTGGTCTTGGCAGAGACACGGATCGGAATTGGGCTCCTCTGCCTCCTAGATCCGACCACAAACGTCATCGCAAACAGAGCTCCATGTCAAGTGCGCATGGTCAAGCGCAATTTGTCTGGGGCAGTGACGACCTTGAAGGCGACCTCGGCTATGCAGCTGCTGAGGGTATGGAAGGGAACCAGCGCAAGGTCATTGTCGAGCGGTTAGAAGCTGTGAAGAGCAAAAACCCCGTCTTTACTTGGTGCTAACCGTGAACCAACTTTTTCTCTTTACGCTAAACACCCTTCCTCCTTGACTTTGTCCTTCCGGGAAATCCTTCGCTTTCGAATCTCTCCTTACCCCCATTACTTCCCTTCCTTCTTCTTCTTCTTCTTCTGTTTAGACCTAAACCACCTCCATCATCACTTTTACATTACTTTCTCTCCCAATTAGCGTTGCTTTTCTTGGCAATATGGCATGAGATGTCCTTTGTGCTGCAAGAGGCAGCATTGGCCCGGGAGAAATCTTTGTTGTTGTATATAGAATTGTGCCGGCTCCTCGGATAATACTCCTGTTTTGAGGATATGGTCGGATGTGTACGTGACAGGCAATGTAGCATATAATGAAACTAATATTAGCATGATACCAATAATTCACCCCGTTTCCATGCTAAGCAGTATTTTCTAGGTGTCCGTGGGGTGAAGTGACGGTGAGCTGCAGGTGAGGCTGCTTTGATAAGCCCTCTCTTATCGGCGCCTTGGCATTCGCGATATGCGATCGAGGCAGGCAGAAACACCCAGTATGAGTGAGGTCATGGCCTACCATTGCTCAGGATCCTTCTGCTTCTGCTTTCTCTTCGGATAGAGTTTCTCGACAATCTGAGAAGTCAGTCAGCTATGGGTGGATACTGACAAGGCTCTTGTCGGGCTTCTTTCCCTGCCTTGCTAACGCTTTTGCCTCTCTCATTCTCCACAAGTCATATGCCCTTTCTATCCCCTCTTCGCATACGCGCTTCGCAACCTGTATCTGTCTCTATGCTCACCAACCCTCCTGGAATCTTCTCTCTCGCACTGGACTTGGCTCGCGTAGTCAGAACGATCTGCCCGCCCGTTTGAGAGGTCGGATACCCGCATAGGCGGAAGAGAGGACGATGGCGTCTCACGCCGCCATGCTCCTGGATCCCAAGGCCTACAGAAAACAACTTCAGAAGAATGGTAACGACCCAGAGATTTTATATGCATCGCCAGATGCCCACATAAGCGCGCAGAATGAAGCGCCTGATGAACCCTTGTTTTTCTTCCCATCATCCAGCCGATGCCCCTCACCACCAGAGGACCCCGAGTACTTGGACCCAAATGACTTACTCGTCGACGGAACAGGCCAGCAAAGTACCAGCGCGTCACCGCGTAGTGCCCCCTCAACCGCCGCGCCGGCCGGGACAGTTTCCGCTGCACATCAGCTTCTCAACCCACAGCGCCGCCAGCGCTCAGCCAAGGCCAGCCCGAAATCGAAGTCGAGGTTGCAGACGGAGTCGGTCCGGTCGCGAGAAGAGAGCAGTGCGAGCTCGTCGCCACACCGACCAGCCAGGAATGTGCCTGCGCCGGAGATTGAGTTTACGAGCGCACAGTCCGAGGACGATAATGACTGGAAACGGAACTCGGATCACCTTGATAGTGACGTTGAAGCGCGCCACGCCAGTCTCATCGAGGATATGTACGGTGTGGAGAAACGAGTTCATCAGCCTTACAAGAAGATCAAAAGGGAGAATGATGAGGAAGCACCGAAGATGATCAAGAATGGGCCGATTACGATCACCGGGGACACCGAGTTGGGCAAGTATATGAAGGAGGACAAGGGGAAGTCTGATTATTCCTCTCCGGCTACACCAAGTGTGGTTGATCTGACCATCGGTGAGAAAGAATCCTACGAAACTGAGATTATCGGTGATTCTATGCTGACAGTGTCATGCACAGACTCCGCTGGTGCTACTAATGACGACGACGACTTGCAGGTCACCGGCTCGAACAACCTCAGTGTCCAGCGGGTATGTTATGGAAAGGTGGACAATGCGATGATACAAGCGCAAATCGTGCCCAAACCTGCTGCCCAAAATATCTTTGGCGACTCGGCGCACGATTGGCCTTCCATAAAGCTGGGCGTACATAGGCACCCAGATCGAAGCAGCTCCAGAATTGATGTTTCGGACCCGCATGGGAAAGTCTTTGGAGCAGTTGACGCGAAGACTGCAGCCGTGATTGTCCCATTGCTTGACTCTCCGGCTCTCAAGGTTGACATGACAGCGCGATTAGACGTTCGCAGACGGCTGCCGGGTGAAATGCCATGGGCCCCTTGCTCTGCTCTCTACAGAGCGTCGATCAACCTCTACGGTCTCAGGAAAGATGCTGAGCTGGTTGGTAAGCACCTCGGGCAGCACAATGTTTGGCTTGGGACGCCGTTCTCTGTAGAACAAGGAGTACCAGTCTTCAATCCGCATGCTGAGCGGCGGCGAGCTCAGGCGGCCTCCTTTTTGCCATCAATAGCTGCGAGGGGCCGTACGGGTGTCAGCTATGAAGTTCGCACCGCGGAAGAGGTCAACGATGCAGTCATGAAGATGTTCGATCAGCTTCAGAGCGCGCAGAATATTCCGGAAATGGAGGCCCCGGACTCGGTGTCGACCCCTCTCCTCCGCCATCAAAAGCAAGCTCTGTGGTTCATGACTGAGAAAGAGAAGCCGCGCAAGTTTGGTCCCAAAGAGGAGGATAACAATTCCCTTTGGAGGATAGAGTATCGCGCAAATGGGGTCAAGCGGTATCGTGAAATCATCAGTGGCACTGTCCTTGACGAAGAGCCGCCTCAGAGCTTGGGAGGCTTATTAGCAGATGTGATGGGTCTCGGAAAGACTTTAAGCATTCTTTCGCTCGTTGTTTCCTCTTTGGCCCAGGCTCATGAATGGGCGAGGAAAATACCGGAGCCGGACCTTGTGCAAAGCCTACCTGGTATTCGCAACTGCAAGACCACTCTGTTAGTCGTTCCTCTCAGTACTGTCAACAACTGGGTTTCGCAGATCAAAGAACATTTGAAGGAAAACGCCATCTCATACTACGTGTTCCACGGCTCCTCCAGGACCAACGATGTGGACGAACTGTCAAGCTACGACGTGGTAATCACAACCTACAGCATTGTGCTATCCGAACTGTCTCAGAGAGGATCCAAGCGAGGCGTAAGTCCTTTGACGAAGATGAATTTGTTTCGTATTGTTTTGGACGAAGCGCACACAATCCGAGAGCAAAGTGCTGCCCAGACGCAGGCAATATTCAAGCTAAACGCTCAGCGCCGCTGGTCCGTGACCGGTACTCCAATCCAGAACCGCCTTGAAGATCTTCTCTCCGTTACCAAATTCCTTGGATTGTTCCCCTACGATGATCGTGCCCGATTTAGCATGCATATTCTTAGTCGATTCAAGACAGGTGACGCGACAGTTCTCACAAGCTTGCGTGTGCTCGTTGACTCCTTTACTCTACGCCGGGTCAAGGATAAGATTGACATTCCTCCTCGACACGACAAGATCATCACGCTCGAGTTCTCCGAAAAGGAGAAGCAGCTTCATGAATTCTTCCGGAAGGAGTCAAATGTCATGATGAGGGTGATTGCAGGAGAGGACAAGACGAAGATGAAAGGACGAATGTACCATCATATTCTCAAAGCAATGATGATTCTGCGACAAATCAGCGCACACGGCAAAGAGCTTCTCGACAGCGATGATCGCCAGCGGATCAAAGGCATCAGCGTGCAGGACGCAATTGATCTCGAAGAAGGAACGGGCGAATCTGCCGGTGTGATTGACAGGAAGGCGTACGAGATGTTCAACCTGATGCAAGAATCGTCGGCTGATGCATGTGCCATGTGTGCCAAGCGCTTGGAAGAGCCCGGATCGGACACTGGCGTGACGGATCGGAAAGCTCCAATGGCGATAGTGCTACCATGCTTTGACGTCGTCTGTCCCGACTGCTTCTCCGGGTGGAAACAAGCTTTTGATGGTCAAGTTGAACCTACGAATACAATAAAATGCCAGGTTTGTGACGGTTGGATTCCTGTTTCGTATTCGACCATCACTGTCGAAGGACTTGAGGAGTACTTGACGGAGCACGAACAAGCAAAGCAGAGCCGAAGGCAATCCAAAACCCTTGGCGAGTACGAAGGGCCACATACGAAGACCAAGGCGCTTTTGGCTCATCTCGCCGACTCTGCAGAGGAGAGCAAGAGGCTAAATGCGGAGCCCCCAATCAAGAGCGTGGTATTCTCGGCTTGGACCTCTCATCTTGACTTGATCGAGATTGCATTGAAAGATCGTGGCATGACTGGATTCACCCGTTTAGACGGAACTATGTCGCTCGCAGCTCGTAACCGAGCTCTAGAGGACTTCCATACCAACGAGGACACCACTATCTTGCTAGCCACAATCGGCGCTGGTGGTGTCGGATTGAACTTGACTTCTGCTTCGAAGGTGTATATCATGGAACCTCAGTATAATCCTGCAGCTGTGGCCCAGGCAATCGATCGGGTGCACCGGCTGGGCCAAACCCGCGAAGTGACCACAGTCCAATTTATCATGAAGGGGAGTATAGAGGAGAAGATCTTCGAGCTTGCCAAGAAGAAGCAGCAGTTGGCAGACATGAGCATGAATCGAGGCAAGCTTGACAAGAAAGACGTTCAGGAGCAGCGGATGAGAGAATATAGAAGTCTCTTCAAATGATCAGCCTTTGTAATTTGCCGTGGCTTTCTCTTTTTCTGCCCCAATTTATCTTCACTCGGACAGCATGGAGGGATGGATTTTGATACCCGAACCTTTGACTTTGGCGTTTGACGGTTTCCCTGCGCTTCGTTTCATATTTCCTTTTCTGCGGTCTTTCATTTTTGCGTCTACGCCGTGGAAAGGAAGCTACACACCATTTTGCAGACGCATAGACGCGTCCTCTTGAGGGATGGACGCTACACAAGACGGCTGGACGCGAGTCCACATTTTCATGGTAATGGTCATTTTTCTTTTAATGCTATACACTGGACGGACGTGCGCGGGATCATAAAGACATGCATTTTTGATATGCTAGCATTTAATCATACATCTTATCATAACGATAGTGGTAAACCTTTTGACATGGCGTATTGAGCGCTCCAGATAGATTGTCTGTCCAGCGTGGAAGAGGCCACCGACAGCAAGACATCAAGAATATCTCTCGAGCAGCTCCCGATCTCCGTATATCCCCGTCTCAACCGCCCTCAGCACATTCTCCAGCGTCCTCCTCAACTTCTTCAACTCCCTCATCTTCAATTCCCGCTCCTCCTCGACCGCCCTCAACTCCCCCTCCAACTCCCGGATCCGCTTCTGCTGCTCCGCCTCAGAGCTATCAATCCCCGGCAATACCGATATCAAATACTCAATCTGCTGCTCTTTGATGATAAGATCCCGCGCCAGCTCCCGCTGCCGACTCGCAAACGTCCGCGGGCTGTCTGGTGCCGGCAGGTTCGGGTCCGCCCCTGCGCCTGCTGCTGGGCCAGGCGTCTGCCCACCGTCGCCTACACTTGTGCCTGCGCCTGCGGCGCCATGCGCGGGATTCCGGGCGGGAGGGGAGGCCTGGGACTGGGCGGGAACCGGGGCGCCGGCGGGGACTGGAGGCGCGGTGGAGTTCTTGGGGATTTTGGCGAGGGCTGGAGCGGCGTCTGGGATGTCCGCGGGTGGGATAGCGGGGGAGTTGTCGTGGTAGGTGCTTAGGTAGCCTATTGTGGCGTAGAACTGGGTTGCGAGCTGTTGAGGTGAGGGTTAGCTTGGTGGTTTGGAGGGTGGGGGTTTGGGGTTGGATGTGTGAGGTACCTGGTCTAGGCAGGTTTGGAGTTGGGTTAGGATGTCGGCCATTTTGCGGTTGATACGTGGTTGTATGAGGTGTAGGTAGGAAAGTAAAGCCCTCACGGCGAGGTCTGTTGATGTAGGGCGAGATTGAGAAGATAGTTGGAGAAAATGAGCGAGATGCGGAGAAGCCAAAGCGGTGATGCGGTCAGAAGTAGAACGGAGATGGTTTTCCTCTAGCTTCACCACCCACCGTCGGATGGCTTGATATGAATCGGATCCATCTTCTCACCAGACTCCTCCGGCGCAATTTCTCAGCCAGTCCAGTCCATCGCCAGCTTGACCCCTTCACTCGCCGGCTTTTCAAGCTCCCTTCTCCTCCCCCCTCGCCATCGCAACACCATAATGACCTGGCATCCTTCCTCGCCTACGCAGAGCGGACCTCTCTCCCAGCGACAAGCACAACCTACATAGGCACACACTACGAATACACAGTTCAGCAAACCCTCCGGCGCTTCGCCTTCTCCCTCCACCGAGTCGGCGGCCGCGACGATGCAGGCATCGACCTCATAGGCACCTGGCACCTCCCGCAACACGAACACCCGCTGCGCGTCTTTGTGCAATGCAAGTCCCTCAAGACAAAGCTGGGGCCAAATCTCGTTCGGGAACTTGAGGGAACGTTCCGCCAGTCGCCTGTGGGATGGCGCACGGGGACGAAGATTGGAGTTCTGGTTGGCCCTCGTGAGGCGACCAAGGGGGTTCGGGATGCGATGGCGCGAAGTGCGTATCCGCTTCTGTGGATGATGGTCGAACGGGGTGGGGAGCTGCAGCAGGCGCTGTGGAATGGTTGCGCTGAGGCGCTGGGTTTGGGTGCGTTGGGGGTGGAGATGGTGTATGGGGGTGCGTCGGGCAAGAGGATCAGTTTGACCTGGGATGGGTCTGAATTGCCTTCTATGGATCAGGTCGAGGATCTAATGACGCAACGGCAGGATGAGTGGCTACGACTATGGGATGCGGACTCTGAGATGTCCGCGGCGCGTAGAGGAGAGTTATTGGATCTTGTACAGCAGGTGTATCCTGATGAGAAGCCGCTCTTGTTAGGAGCTGGTACGTGCACTACTTTGACCGAGGCAGATAGGACCAAGGTCCTGCAGCAGCTGAGCAACAGGCTACAAACGCCTGCGGAGGACAGTGGAAGTTGAGCATGACCTCAAGTCCGACGGTCTAGTCACTGGCTGCGGCTTAAAATCATAAAAACAGAATATAGGATTGACGAGTAATACGAATCTCTGGGTATATCAAAAGACAAAGGCAAAATGCAGAGACAAAATCACAAGCGCCCGCGTCATCATATCCCACAACTGGAAAATTGCACGCCTCAGGTCCACCCTGGGAGGGAATCCAAACGCCATAACCAAATCGCACAATTCAACCTTGCATGGTTGACCAAAAATAATTGGCGTAAAAGAAGCGCGAGAATTTGGGGTCCATATTAACCACATGGACGTCTCCCTTGCGACTGTTGCGAATAACAGCCTTGCCAAAGTTCCCGGCCTCGTCCGCCTCGATATCAATGCCCAAAGACCGGTAGATCTTGAGACGAAGTCTGTCGCATATTCAGTCAGAAGTCTCCAGTAAAAACAGAGAAGCACCACCCACATAGTCGCATCGTCGGCCTCCCTCTCTCTCCGCGTAGCTTCATCGCCCTCGAGCCCCTGCGCTTCCAACTCGGCCAGTCTCTCCTTGAGCATCTCTAGCTCGCCTTCCAGCCTCTCGCTCTCAATCTCCAGCTCGGTTGCGGCCTTGGCGATCCTGAATTTCTTCGTGTCGAGTTCAACCATCTGCGCAGCGTGCTTTGCCGAGTCGTGTGCGGACACGGCCTCCTCATGTTGCGCGGTCAAGGCGTGCAGGTTGCGAGAGAGTTTACGGAGCGCCGACTCGGCATCGCGCATGCGGAGCTCGCGAGATTGTTGTAATGTAGATAGGGAGTCATTGATGCGGGTGACGGCTTGTTTGTCTGGGTGGATATTGAAGTTGCCGATGGTGTGGTGGATGAGCTGTGTTTGTCAGTCTTAGTTCAGAGAGAAACATATTCCAAAACATACTGTCGCGGGATCCTCGTCGAGCAACATTTTGTATGATGAAGAAACGCCACAGACGGTCGTTCTGTTCTCTGAATTGTCTTGATGTAATACCAGAGGGCGATGGACTGTTGATGGATCCCGTTGGGGGAGCAACAGCCACAACGCCACACGTGTGCTGACACAGCCACATGTTGGTGGGTGACGAAACATTGTGATGGCCTGCTTGATGGAGATGACTAGACTAGATGCTTCTTCACTTAGTCAAAGATAATCTCTCAGTTGAGATTCCTTATCTGCTGTTATAGCCATCTACCCAGATCCTTTACTATAACTCGGTCTAACACTCACGGATATCACCGCACCACGATGGGGTCCAACCTACCATGTATGTCTTGTCCAGGCTACCATCATTTTGCTCGGGAGTATATCGAAACTGACCACCATCGCTTCCTTAGATGCTGCGGACGCTGAAAGGTTAGCCTTATCCGGCTCTCGAAAGCTGTGCTCTCGCTAAATTACATGTTTCCAGTCCGTTGAAACCAGCAGAGCTCCAAGTGTTGCGGGCCCAGTACGAGAAGGAGGGTGACTATGTTGGGATCCAGACGAAATTCAACTACGCATGGGTATGCCGGCTACTATTTTTCTCTCTGATCAACCGACTGACAAGATAGGGCTTGATCAAATCCCACGCTCGGGCGGATCAACAAGAGGGTGTCCGTCTTCTATCAGAAATCTTCCGCGCATCCCCAGAGCGACGACGTGAATGTCTCTACTACTTGGCTTTGGGGAACTACAAGCTCGGAAACTACGGTGAAGCCCGGCGCTACAATGATCTGCTCCTTGAGAAGGAGCCGGGGAACCTGCAGGCCGCCAGCCTCGGCTCGCTGATCGATGACAAGGTCTCCAAAGAGGGTTTGATGGGCATCGCGATCGTGGGTGGGCTGGCTCTTGCGGCCGGAGTAGTAGGCGGTCTTGTCTTCAAGGGTGCCGCAAAGAGACGATGAACGGGTTGGCTCTTGGTTTTGAAAGTCGTGTATATATATCATGGTTCTCCTACTCTTTTGTCCGGGCTTTATTTAGCATATGAGGCGTTTGTCTGTTGTTTGAGCGCAGGACCACTGGGATACTTTTTAAATCCTTCGAGAGATGCTGGATGAATTATGTGTACAGTGCTGTCTGTTGTCTGTGTTGGTACCTGAATCCAAGCCAATAATCAAGCGTCTAGAATGTGGCTGGCTGGGGGAATGTGAGGCTGTTAGTCCGCCACTCGGTGAATCAGCAGTCAACGTCATCCGCCGCCGGACATCGGCCTGTTTGTTCGTCTGACGTGCTCCACTTACTCTTCTTTCCCCGGCCTGATCTATTGCATTCCTTTGCATTCATTTGCTCTTCTTTTATTATCCTTTACTATCAGGTCATTCTCATGGAGATAATGCATAGCTTCACTTGGTGAAGAAAGCAACACGCTGCTGTCAATATGTTTCTGGATGATTCAGAGATCCTAAGGAATAAGACACGCGAGCTTCCAACTGTCTGACCTTCCGGTACTCTTTCATCGTTTCTACTTCTTTGCATACTTACTTCCTCGGATTCTTCTCAACATCTGTTAGACTTTTCTTCCTTCTCATAACGTTATGGACAACGTTGCTATGGCCGATGCGGGGGACCGCATGTTCTGTCATGCCTGTGGTGGAGTTTGGCTGAAAAACGCTGCTAATGGGTTGGACTGTCCCCATTGTCAGTCTGACTTTACAGAGATTGTACGCACCTCTGCTGCTTGCTCTCTGTCTCGAATCTCTGCTAATGTCCTGGATATCAGATTGAAATCCCGCCCGATACAGAAGACCCCTCCTCTCGACCCACGAATGACTCACCACCCCGCGAAGAGAATAATCGACCCAACGTCAACCCTTGGGCCGATCACAACCCTTGGGCAAATGAAGAGGACTATGGAGGAGACGGCAACGCATGGCGGCCAGGGTTCTCACGCCGTACATATAGGTCCCCCGATGGCCGGTTTACTTTCACAACCACCACCACCACTTTAGGTGGTGGCAACTTCCGCATTGGACGATCTATGGACCAGAGACAAATTCCGATAGACCCGTTGCTGCCGGTGGTGCGCAGCTTGGATACTATTTTCCACGGGTTGGCCGACACCTACCGGCAAGGCCAGAATCAGAATCAAAACCAAAACCAAAATCGGAACGCCCCAGGTCAGGGAAATGAGACGGACGCCGATGAACATCGTGTGCGGAGCGAATCGCCCGAATTCCGTGCAACCGGCAGGCTATTTGCGCGAGATGCGGATGGTCCGCAGCCCATGGCACCGCCTTTGGGCACCCTAGGCGAGTACGTAGCCATTTTCTTTTAGTCGTTTATTGTCCATGGCTGACTTGCTTGATAGTATCCTCGAACTGTTTCGCGCCGACTTTGGGGGCGGTATGGAAGGTGGAGGAGTGCGTGTGATGACTGGTCCGAATCCTCTGGCCATGCTTTCAACTCTACTGAACTTTGATCGACACGGAGATGCGGTGTACTCACAGGAGGAACTGGACCGGGTTATTTCGCAGTTGATCGACCAGAACATCAACCGAACAGGGGCTCCCCCGGCTCCGCAAAGCGCTATTCAGGCCCTGCCGAAGAAAAAGGTTGATGAGGAGATGCTAGGCAGCGATGGCAAAGCAGAGTGCTCGATTTGCATGGAGCAAGTCGAATTAGGCACGGAGGTCACCGTCTTGCATTGCAAACACTGGTTTCATTATCCCTGCATTGAAGCCTGGTTAAGCCAACATAACACATGTCCGCATTGTCGCAGGGGGATCGATATCCCACAGTACGTATTTTTCAAAGGGTTGTCAATAGTGACACTGACCGATTCACAGAGCTGAAGGAACCAGGCAAGATCCTGTTGTCATTAACGACAGCCCTGAACCTACATCTCCCGAGCGCCGTCGTAGTAGTGGTCCAGCTCAGCATAGCGGACAGGCCCCTCCCACATGGGGTGAGCATCCGTCGTGGAACACTTCAGAGTCAAACGAGCATAATCGAGGACAATCCGGTCACGACGAAGGTAACGAACATTATCAAGGACAATCCGGTCACAATGGAGGTAGCGGCAACGGAGGGTTTGCCGGGTGGGTTAGGAGTCATTTTGGGGGCAGCTAATCGCTCATTCATGAAGCATCCGACTTTGGGTTGGGTCAGTCGTTTATAAGCTACGGCTCCCAGGTACATTGCGTCTGATTGATGATTATTTTTCTTATTCTTATCCTGGGCTTGAGTAGCATAGCATGGAATGAACCCATGCATTGATGTAAATAACGAATCCAGAATTGCTGAATATATCCTCAGCACCATCCAATACCACCGGAATGTCTAGTGTGAGCAGTGACTCCAGCATCAGTCTCATTCAATCCCAGTCTATCATTCAACTGAGCACAGTAGTGAACTGAACAATTCAACCCTTGAATCAGGTTTATCTCAAAACATATTCTCCACAACACGGAGCTCCACTGTCCCCGCCCCCGCCACGCCTTGTGAAAGACAAAAGCTTGGACATAGCTCCTAGTAGTCTATATATAGAGCTCTCTTTCTTTCAGCCATTTCTTTCCTTTGTCATTGTCATTATCACCGTCATCCACCCACAATATGAAAACTGTCTTCACCAATGGCGTCATCGTCCGAGGCAACGGGAGCTCGCAATCTGAGCCCGTCCTGGGCTGTATGGTCGTCGAGGACGACAAAATAGCATACATAGGCGCTGAAAACGACGAACCCGTCGCACAAGCAAAGCAAGCACTAGGCGTTGAGATTGTAGACTTGCAAAGACGAACCGTCATCCCAGGGTTCATTGATGGGTATGTGGCCCCGTTCAATTCTCGTCTATTATAAGATGCTATGCTACGCTTCGCTCTGCTCGCAACTAACAAGAGACAAGTCACATGCACCTCCTCCTCTTCGGCGCGGGGCTCTCCAAAATCGACCTCGGACACTGCAAATCCCTCGCCGACATCCGCTCAACCATCAAGACGGCCGCCGCGCAGCGCCCGCACGCCCCGCGTCTCTTCTGCAGCGGGTGGATGCACTCCATGACAGACGGCCAGGCACTAGCCAGCATGCTCGACGACCTCGACCCGCGGCCTATCTTCATCGACTCGAAAGACCTACACAGCGCGTGGTGCAACACCGCCGCGCTGCGCGAGCTCGGCGTCGCGGACACGCCAGACCCCGCGGGCGGGATCATCCACCGCGGGGAAGACGGCACGCCGAGCGGGCTACTCTCCGAGGCGGCGGCGGTGAATATCGTGTGGCCGCATGTGGCGCGGGTCGCGACGGCGGAGGAGAAGATGGGCTTTGTGCGGAGTGCGGTGCGCGCGTACAATGCGGCGGGGTATACGGGGGTGGTGGAGATGGCGACGGACGAGAACGTGTGGGGGACGATGCTGGCGCTGCGACAGACAGAACAGGTGTCGCTGCGGCTGGCGGCGCATTGGATCATTACCCCCGCGACGACGGTGGAAGCGTGTCTGGCGCAGGTGGACCGCGCGATCGAGCTGCATGCGATGTATAATGCGACCTCGTCGCCGGATTTCCGCATCGCGGGGATCAAGGTCATTTGCGATGGGGTGGTGGATGCGTGCACGGCTGCGCTGCTGCAGCCGTATGCTGCAGCCGCGCAAGCTGGCGAGGGTCAAGTGAACTGCGAGCCGCTGTGGCCGGCGGATATGTTGCGGGCCGTAGTGGCCAAGGCGGACGCAGCGGGCCTGCAATGCGCGCTGCATGCGATCGGCGACGCGACGGTGCGGCTGGCGATCGATACGCTGGCGGCGGTGGGCTCGCCCGGCCGGCGGCATCGCATCGAGCATCTGGAGCTGACGGCGCCTGAGGACGCGGCGCGGCTGGGCCAGCTGGGGATCACGGCCTCAGTGCAGCCAGTGCATGCGGACCCGGCGATCCTGCGTGCGTGGCCGCGGCTGCTGGGCGAGGAGCGGTGCGCGCGTGCGTTTGCGTATGCCGAGTTTGCGGCCCACCGTGCGCCGCTGGCGATTGGGACGGACTCGCCGACGGCGCCGCATCTGCCGCTGAGGAATCTGTATACAGCGACGACGCGGCGGTCAGCGCGCGAGCCGGATTCAACGGTAACAGTAAACCCGCAGTTCAAGCTGTCGCTGCTGCAGGCGGTTTCGGCGGCGACGGCCGGGTCGGCGTACTCGTGCTTTGCGGATGGGTTTACGGGGAGTCTGGAGGTCGGGAAGAAGGCGGATTTTGCGGTCGTGGAGATGGAGTGGGAGGCCGAGAAGCTGCTCGAGGCGTCGGTGTGCGAGACATACTTTGATGGACGGAGGGTGTACAGCCGTTCCTAGGTAGTTCCTGACGCAGCACTTCATGTAGATATACCTAAAAGCATATATACACGTAGGAAATCACAACTTTGGCTCGGCAAACTTCCTCACCACCTTGTTGCATAGCTCGCTCAGCACACCCGCAACCCACTCGAAATCGCTCTTCTCCAGGTAAACCTGCGCACTCAGCCGGGTCCACAGCCACCCGCCATGCGCAAACACAGGCACAAAGGTCCCGTAGTCCCGCGCCAGCGCCGTCTGGATCTCCCCAGCAACCTCCGCAGCCTGCGCAGCCTGCAGCCTCAATCGAGCCGAGGCCTTCTTCGGGTCCTCTTCACCACCCGACACGGCAAACGGCAGTCGCACGGTCGCCATGGCACAGCGCCGGAGCTGACTGACCTCTCCCGGCTTCAAGTCGGGCTCCTGCATGACCTCCGTGCCCAGCGCCGCGGCAACAATGTCGCCGGCCTCCAGCGCCAGCTTCTCCAGATACGCGTAAATGCGGTCCTCGCCGCCGCAGACCTGGGAGCGGAATTTCAGCGCCGCAGGGACACACAGGTACGCCGTGTCGTCGGTGGTCGCGACAAACTCGAAGAGCGCCTCGAAGGCGGACTTGCCCGAGCTGCTGCGCATGAGGGAGGGCGCGGTGGCGGGGGAGTCCGGGGATGGGATGAAACCCCAGGAAGTGGGGAGAGTAGTCCGGATGAGATGCTGGTTGCGAAGGGGGACGTAGAGGATGGCGGAACCCCGGGGGGTATACAGCCACCTACACAAATATCATCAATATTAACCAAGTCGAGTCAATGATTGAGGCGACTCACTTGTGAAGATTCGTCGTCAAGAAATCCGGCTGCAAAGCCCCCAGATCCAGGGGAATCTGCCCGATGCCATGCGCACCGTCCACAACACTCAAGATGCCCTCGGCGCGACACGCCTCGATCAACCGCTCAAACGGGAACCGCACACCAGGCATGCTGACGATGGTATCAAACACCGCAACACGAACCTTCAATCCATCCGCCTTCGCCTTGGCCACAACCTCCAGGAACCTCCGCACCAGCTCGTCATGGCTAATGGGGAGCTGGTACTGGACCTTCCGCAGCTGCAACGGCGTAGTCTCAACCAGCGAGACAAGGGTCTTCTCGACAGCGCCGTAGACGGTGTCAAAATACACCACCACATCATCTTGCTTGAAGACAAGGTTGCGCAGGACGGTGTTGATGCCCGTCGAGGCATTCTTGACGAACACGCACTCGTTGGTGGGCACATTGAGCAGCGAGGCCACGGCGCGGCGGGATTCGTCTATCAGTTGGGGCTGGATGTGCCGGATGAACGGGTCCGGACGGGCCTCCACTTGAGATTGGAAGTGTCGCAGAGCTGTTTGCACGGCAATGGGATACGTGCCGAACGAGCCTGGAGGGTGGTTGTTAGTCAGGTCAACGCAATTCGTTCCGAAGGGAACTTGCCATGGTTGAGGTTTTTGAAGTCGGGGTCAAACAGAAAGTGAGCTTTTGCCATAGAGGCACCAAAAGGCGCGGGAGCAGACATTTTGTTTAAGAGGAATCCCTGTAATTAGAATCTTGAGGGAAACTGAAAGGAATGGCAGAAACAGCGGAGGATTGAGAGAAGATAAACCACTGCGAACGAATACGAGGACTTGGGATGGAGTCACTCCGAAGGCGCTTGTGAGTCATCCCCACCTACGCCCTTGATAACACAAGGTAGATAGTTACAGTAGTACACCGACTCTTCGCAATTACAAATCAGTTCAGCTCAGTTTGATAAGATCAGTTACCATGAAGGGTGTCTGTGGCAGCACAATCAGTGGTACTGCGGATATCGTCGGATCTCGGACATCTCAACCAGATGATCATACTGCGGACACTGTCAATGAGAAACTCTACCGTCTACCGAGTGCCACAAAACGCACTTGGCTCAATTGGTAATGTAGAGAGGTATTGACGATCTATTCTAATAGATTACAGGAGCAAAAGACAAGCCCAGCTGCGGACAACGCGCATACCCAAATAGGCGGTAGATCTCATATCTACACACAAGAACAACAGGATACTGGCCAATCAAGTACTCTCGACATCACACAGCCCATGTACAGATTCATCATTCACCGCTTGCCCTTCTTACGGGGAGCCACCACCTTGAACGCTGCGTTGCTGCTCTCTTCTTCGCGGTGCGCGTTAGACGACCCCTTCTTGGCCACTTCACTCCATCCGCCTCCGGCAGCGTTCTTCTGGTCCGCAAGGGCGCTGGGGGCCACTGGGTCAACAATGCCCTTGTCCGCTAGCTTACGACGGCGAATGAACTCCTCCGCAAATCGCCGACCATCCAGCGTCTGCGAGTTAGCATACACCGAGTCCGAGATGATCTCCGCCTCGGCGGGCAAGAGGAGCAATTGTTGCACGAAGTCATCCACTACATCACATTAGTTGTTTGCTTTCAACGACGCGTAGATGTATAACTTACCATTGATGTTGCTGTTCAGCCCCTTACCCAAAGACAACTTGGCCCATTTGGTAAACTCCTCCAGAGCGCGGTTGGCGTTTGATGGCGGGGCGCTACCGACGGCCACAGGTCGGGGAGAGGCAACGGGTACGGCGCGGGGCTTCGCGGGCGATGCGGCCAACGGGACATTACCGCTGGTAGCGCGGGGTCCAGATGGTGCGGCAGGGGGAGGCTTGGGCTTGCCGCCGGCGCCCACGGTAGTCCAGGCACCGGAGCTGACTGCGGCAACGGGGGCTGTCGCAGGAGCCTTGCTGGCGAGATCCGCATACCGCTTGCCGGTCGATGTCGCGGGTGGAGAAACAGCTGCGGTCTGAGCAGCGGCCGCCGCAGCCGCCAGGCGCTGCTTGCGGGCTTCCTCTTCCTTTTGGATCTGAGCAAGCGTCTTCTTAGCTCCACCTCCAGTGGTGGCGGTCTGACCCTTGTTGTTCCAAACGGAACCGGTGGACGTCGGAGTAGCGGGAGATCCAGCACTGGCCCAGTTGGCGGTGGATGGAAGACCAGGGGCCTGCGCTTGCGCTTGGCTCAGACGCTCCTGCTCGGCAAGGAGTTGGGCACGACGAGCGGCGGCAGCCATCTCTTCCCTCTGAGCAGCATTACGAGCCTCCGCCTCTTGAATCTCCTTCAACGAAGGTCCTTTGGGCACTTCGTTACCCCCTCTGGCCCAAGGCGCGATGGATGTGGGGGGAGCCTCGACAGGAGTCTGTGTCTGGGACCGCGAGTTCGCTGCCAGAGACTCGGCGACATTCTGACGGTTGCGCTGTGCGGCAGGAGCGGGGAGTGGCGATGCAGAAGGCGGAGGAGGCATGGCGGTGTCATCTTTGGTTCCCCACACGGAATCGGCTTGAGATTGCTCGTTCTGCTGCTGCTGCTCCTGTTGTTCCTGCTGCTGCTGTCTCTGAGCGGATGCAGCTTTCTGGACTTGTTGAGACAGTGTGAGCGGGGCTTCCTCGCTTGGAGCGGTGCCCTGGTCAACACCAGAACTGGTACCGGTCTTCTGAGGAGAACCAATGGGTGCGATCTCTTGCTGTAGGGAAGGCTCGGCAGCATGGTGGGAAGGAAGGCCTTCAGCACTTTGCATGCCGAAATCGCCTTCCTGCGCTCTCAGTGCATGAAACTGGCGCAGCCGTTCTTCGCGGGCCTGCTGCTCGAAAAGGCTGTCTCCCTGAGTACTGTCGAACTGTTCTTGTTCCTGCTGCAGCCGGGCACGGTCTTGCAACATCGTGGCTACTTGTTGGGAATGAAAGAGATTGTCCGGCTGCCGAGCCGCAAAAGACGACGGGCTGCCAAAGGCGAACGGATCCGGACGACTCATGTTCAAGCGATCAAGGAGAGGCGCAAGCTGATGTGGGCTATTGACCAGATCGGTTCCGACCATCTGCGGCCCCTGCCTCAATGGTGCTGCTGCATCGAAGAAGCCGGCCACGGACTGGGGCGGCTGCTGCTGCATTGGCCCCTGAATCGGAGATGGCTGGAATCCAATGGGCGAAGCAATGCTTCCAAAGCTAGGCTGGCTGTGAAGGCTGTGGGAGCTGGAATGATGCTGCAGTTGAGGGTGGATGGTAGGATGGACGGCGCCCTGCAACTGCATTTGCTTCATCATCGCCTGCTGCTGAGCGAGGTGCTCCTTCTGTCTGGCCATCAAATACTGTTCCTCTTGCTTCCGACGCTCCAGAGCGTTCTGCTGCTCGGCGGTCAAGGTGGTACCAAAACTGGGGAAACTGCCAGGGAAGGGAGGCTGCGCAGTACCGGTGGTGGTTCCGGTCCAAGGAGCACCAGCGCTGGGTTCGGGTCCATGAGGAATTCCGATCTGAGGTACGAGGAAGGGTTCTCGTGAGTTCCCAATGCGTCGCACCAGCTGCGCCAATGGTTCAAACTCTGGATCTTCGAGCTTCTTGATCTGCAGATCGGGGCTGAAGAAGCCAGCCTTGAACCAGTCGTGCATTTCCAACCCGGTCCATGGACCTTGAATGTTACCCTGAGGATCACGGTAAATCCAGCGCATACGATCGGGCATCACCATGGTGCGCTGTTGAGCAGGAGGCACAGACCCAGCGTTGCTTCCGGACTGCCCTGGAGTTTGACTCGGTTGTGGTGCTTCGGAAGCCATAGAGGCCGGAACGGAACCGATCGCAGACACAGGAGTCTGGGACGTCGAGGTTGTCGTCGGCTGACCAGCCTTGTCTCCCTGTGATACTTCTTCAAAGAATGGTTAGTATTTGGATATTTTATACATAGCAGAGGTAGAGCTTACCTTGATGATGAGAACCATCTTCCATAGCGCCTTGTCTGACTTGATCCCCTTGCATTTGCTCCTGCATTGCGGGGGGAAACAGAGAGCCTAGCTTGCTGGAGCGGCCGATGCTGCCGGTACCCGTGATGCCAGGGCTGAAGATGCCACCGCCTCCCAGCGTTGACAGACTAGGCGACTGGAGATCAGCCATGGTGCCGAAGATGGGATCGCCGAACCCGGTAGAGAAGGCGGACCTCTCTCGAGTAGGAGTCCCAACGGCGCCAGAAGACCACGCCGAAGCACCTCCCAGAGTAGGAAGACCGCCGAGACCACCCAGACCAGAAAAGCTGCGGTTGCCCGCGGCACTGGAAGTCTGGCTTCGGTCGATAGAAGGCAAATCCATTCCCGAACCTATTCTGCGCATCGAGCCAAATGGGCCGGACGTATCTCGAAGACCGGAGAGACCAGGGTGATGGGTATTTTGAATGTCAGATCCGTCGGTCTCGACATCGTCAGCGTCGATCCGCTCGCCGTGCGGGCTCTGGTAGGGATTGGTGTTCGTTGGGCTAGTCGGCTCCTGGCCTTGGAGTAAGCTCGGCGTGGGGTTGCGAGAATTCTCGTGGCTCTGCATGAGCTCTCTGAAGCCCGGAATACTGGACGTCATCCCAAAGGCGGAGAAGCCCAGCTGGTCCGCGGTTTGAGACGGCGCGCTCGCGTCCTGAGATCCTCCAAGGGCAGCGCTTCCACTGCGAGTCTCCTCTGCAAATGGGTTGGTCTCACTGCGGCCAGTGCGCGTCTTGACAGTTTCCCCCCAGGGTGACTGCGAGCGTTTCTCCCCCTGGTCCTCAGCCAAACGTTCCAAGTTGCTGAGGGACGGCTTCTCCTTGATGGAGGCCGAAATATCCTCTGAGCTATCCTTGGAGAATAAGCCCTTAAGGCGACTCTCCCCGCGTACACTTCCGAAGCCCGGTTTCTTCTCCGTGGTTGGCGTTTGAGAAGCGCCCGTTCCCAACGAGAAAGCCCCAAAGGCACCCATGGGCGAGAAGCTAGCGCTCTGCGAAGCGGCGCCCCATGGAGAGCTTGGTGCCCCAGTCGCAGCAGCCGTAGGATTGGTAGCGCTCCGTTTCAGAGAACCAAACGGAGAGGCCACTTCTCCAGAGCCACCATCACGGGTAGGGGCTTCCTTATCCTTCTGATCCCACTTGGAGGTAGACGTAGTCTCGCGAAAATCGGTTTTGCGGCGCAATAGAGACGGAGGCGGGGTAGAGGTGGACGGCTCGTCGCGGAAGAAACGGGAGCCACCGGTGGTAGGAGACATGGCGTTACTCACAGAATCGCCGGTCTCCCGACGCCGAGGGCCAGGGCGCGCGGAGCTGGGGGAAGAGGTGCTGTAGTTGTTCATGTGGCTCTGAGGATACGAAATGGATGACTTGCGTCCTCCAGTGGCAGCACCGGTATTCTCCTTGGTGGCACTGGTTGGGGGAGGCTTGAGCGGGGAATTGACCGAAGCGGAAAATAACTACACGATTCAGCACGGCACTTTCCAACAGGAATCAAAGGGCGATCTTCAGGTGTTCAGAACCAAGGGGGCACACAAAGACAAGACCAACCTCTTTCTCATCATCAGTCATATCTACTAAGCCCAGAGGCTCCACCTGCCCGCCGTGATCCCAACAAATCTCAGGTCCCGAGGGATTATCCTTGGAATCCTCTCGCTTTCCCCATGCTCCGTTGGTGGGCGGAGTCTCCACGTGAGGGTTCCAGTCGGCGATAAAGTAATCCGCAACGTTTTTACCTAGAGCACCCGACTCACGCTGAGCTTTGTAGAGACTCAACAGTTGTTCTTTGGAATAACGATTCTCGCCGGCCCCGTTGCGGAGTGCGCTGGTTTGATTTGAGGTCATGTGTGGGGGAGTATAAGCACCGACCGTCGGATGCGTAGCAGATGTACTTTGAGGGATGTCTCGCGTTTGAGGAGCATTCGTTGCGACTGACGGACGGCGGAAAGTCTGTGTTGCTCCGTTCATGCGAGTTCGAGACCTGGTAAAGCAAGGGTATCAGTTGTCAAGCAAGTTTCAGGTTAGGTAAGGACACGTCCGCGGGGGGGAGGGATAGAGGAGGAAAACATTATGAAAATGTGTATTGATAGAGAATGCCCAGAGCACATAAGACATGATTCTTTGCATACCATTCTCCACCGGCAGTTCCGTCACCTCTCCTGCTGGAAGCGTCCTGAGTATTGCCAGCAGCGGCCGAAGCAAAACTCGAAGGAAGTGGCGTAGGCATTATGGAAACAATGGCTGACTGATGAAGGTAAATCACCGGTTCAGCGAAGAAGAGGGAGACAAGTCAAGACAAATCTCGATCGCGTGAGAGAGTTTGGTTCTCAGTGTGTTCTGGTGGCGGATTGGTAAAGTTGAAGGGAACGTTTGCGTGGGAGAACGACGCACGACACGAGAGCAAAAGAGTAGGTAGCTAGAAGAAGACTAGTAGATCAGTAACCGACCGGAGAAGCTGCAACAGGAAGTATTAGAGGCAACATTTGAAAAATCTTGTTGGCACAAACCTTTTCGCTTCGTAAAATGGGGGAGACTGTTATTCCTTGGGGAAGAGGATAGAGCAACGATCCAGGTCAAGATCAGGAAGATCGAGTAAAGTCAGTCGCAGAGAGTCTCAAGGTGGAAGTTCCTAGCTGCCGTGAAAAATGGACGAGGCGGCGGGCGAATGGCAGGCAGCGCGTGGAATTATCACACGGGCACTCTTGAAGTGTCTGGCTGTCTGGGGGCTTGGGCTGTTTTCGTTGCCAGCCACTTTTACGCGGTTTTACCATACAGGGCATCCACAAACGCACAAAGAATGGGTACAGCCTTACAAGCACCTTACTTTTTCCTAACCTACCTGGGTCAGAAGCATCAAGTCAATTAGAAAACACTGTGAGGAGCCGTGTATGTAGGACACGCGTGAGATCATAATTGACTCGTAAATCTATCATATGATATAGATGATTATGATTGATTAGATTTCATCCAGGAACATCAGCGTCAAAGCTACCTATTTCTATCAATCCACCAGCCTTGAATCGGCAGGTGATCGGTGTATGGCATGAGTAAACGAACTATCCACAGTGCGTGGGCATAACCTCTCCAGACAAACCTACATTGTCCTACTGCCACGTCCATCGCGTCACTGGTGCCGTCACCGCCGCCGTTAATTACAGTCTGTATGAACGGCTCAATATGGCTGGACTCCTATGAAGATGCAATATTTCGTTTGTTGCTGGAACAAAGGGTGGAAGGGGAATAGAAGTCTCTGGTGCATAGTATTTATGGTGCATCCTTTTATTCAGACGCAGAAGGGATGCAAGGCATGAAAGGCAAGGTGGATGGCATTTACCGGTCATACATCCAACATGCCTCAGCATCACCAACCTCCGCGTCTGATGTTGAAGCCTCAGGCACCGGTTATCGCCATGACAAGCCTTTGTCTGCAGCAATCATCGGTAGGCATTGATGGATATCAAGATGCGGAGCTCTGTGTTCTTCTGTTGTCCGTTTGCTGAAAGACTTGTAGCATGACCAACTCCACAATGCCCATACCATCTGGATATATATCTCAGGCATGGTCCTAAGCCAAAGAGCAACCCTCTCCACCACAACACATTGGCTTCTTCCAAGATGAAACAAGACAAGACCTCTATGCCATATGCCTCGTACTGGCACGGCAAACCCCTTCGAACCGGTCTTGCCCAGGGAGAAAAGATCAGACCCGTCTGTACCGGGTCACATATCCTCCAGACTTCCCACCACTGTGCGCCTGATCGAGCATGCTGTCCTGCTAATATCCAGGACAAACAACCCTGTCCATGCGGACATGGACACGGATATGGACATAGTAGCAACACAGAAAGCCACCACTGGGGCCCAGAGCCACCGCAGCAGAACCCAAACTCCTGCTTTCCTGAAGCGCAAGCACAAGCGCCAATTCCCAGCTGTTGCAACCCTCCACAGCCCCCAGCCTTCTGTCAAGACTGTCCTCCACACGACACTCCCCGCCCAGAGCCCTGTTCTCTAGGCAGATGCTGCGTAGCGGAAAACACCTGTCTTCCGGGAGATCCAAGCTACCAGACCCCGCAAGACATCCCCTACCCAGCAAGCAGATGTAACTTCTGCTCCTATCCCAAGCCTGAAATGCATTGCGGCGACTCACCGAAACCGAGGAGCCATCATCCGTCTGCACCGGTAAAGTGTCAACAGAGCTTCACTCGCTTCGAGAGCTGTGACCGCTTCGACTGCTGCGAGGATACCTTCTTCAGCAAGTGCGAGTATTCGACCGAAGAGTCGATGGAGACGGGTAACGGTAACGGTCACGGACACGGCCACGGCCACGACGCGGACTTCGACACGAGGTCTTACCATCGTCGGCGTCCGTGGCTGAATCATCAGCTACATCGCAAGTATTAGTTTGGATTCCGTTACCCTTGGATGTTCGCGGTGTTGGTGAGAGATTGAGGGCGATTGAGGTTAGCAAGCAATTTAGAAGCTATGCAGGGTCTCCCGTAAAGATTTAATTAGATGAGTACCCCGGGTAATATCGTCGATTCAGCCCCCGCAACAGTAAGAAATAAAAGATTGGATTTCCATGCTTTGATAATTCTATTCTTGGACTCGTCTGCATAGCTACAACCATGGTGGTGTTTTGACAAATAAATATTGACTGTCCTAACTGAGGTTGTTTAAGGTGGCATAGCTACTGTATACTTCTTACTACCACAAAATTTGTAAGGCCATGGCGCAGAATAAAGATCATATCATCGCTTTGACAGCCTGATGGTGATAGTCGATTCTCAATATCAGTTGGCTTCGCGCACAATCACCGCAACTCCGTCCAGCCTCGGTTATCGATAACGAGGGGATCATCGTCGTCATCCCCGCACGGATTACTGATCATTCGATGTGCGTTGGGGTAGAATTTCAAAACCTCAAATTTCCAATTCTCTCGCTCCATCGCTGTCAATTATACGTACTGAACTGGCAGATCCTCATAACACTGTCACAATGTCGAAAGCAATCTTCATGTCCCAAGTGGACGGCAAACCCGGCCAAGTCTACTACCCCCTCTCCGTCCAGACATTGCCTTTGCCGACACCCCAGGGGCGCGAGCTCCTGGTCAAAATGACTGCGGCCTCACTCAATCATCGTGATGTTTTCCTGCGGCAGCATCTATACCCAGGCGCCACTTTCGATGTTCCCCTCGGCGCAGACGGGGTGGGAGTGGTTGTCGGCACTGGCCCCGATGTGACAAATCCCGAACGGTGGCAGGGCAAGCGAGTGATTCTAAACCCTGGGACGGGCTGGAACGATTCGCCGGACGGACCGGAAGACCCCAAGGGCTATCGCATCATGGGTGGAACAAAGGTCTACAACAAGGGTACACTGCAGGAATACCTCACCATTGAAGAGTCCGAGGTGGAAGAAGCTCCCGAGCATCTGTCGGATGCGGAGGCCGCTGCGTTGCCATTGACAGGATTGACGGGATGGAGAGCCTTGGTGGTCAAGGCGGGCGAAAGGAATTCCGGCAAGGGCGCGGCTGTCTTGATCACGGGGATTGGCGGTGGTGTTGCGCTGATTGCCCTCCGTTTCGCGGTGGCAAGGGGTGCGGATGTCTATGTGACGAGTTCGAGCGAGGAGAAAATTCAAAAAGCCGTGGTACTGGGCGCGAGAGGTGGCGTGAGTTACAAGGAGGATGGATGGGAGAAGAAGCTTTTGGGTATGCTTCCCAGCGGCAAGCGGAACTTTGACGCCATCATCGATGGTGCAGGTGGTGACTCTGTTGAGAAGGCAACCAAATTGCTCAAGGTATGACGTCCAACTGCGCGCCCACCTGAAACCCGACTGACCGAGACAGGCTGGTGGTGTTCTCTCCGTTTATGGAATGACCGTGTCCCCCAAGATGCCATTCCTGATGCAGGCTGTCTTAAAGAACATAGACGTCCGTGGCTCTACCATGGGCTCTCGCAAGGAGTTCAAAGAGATGGTTGATTTCGTCAAGGCGAACAAGATCCATCCAGTAGTTTCTCGGGTTGTGCAGACGGACCTGGGCGATATCGAGGGACTTGACAGTTTATTCCAGGACATGAAAGAAGGAAAGCAATTTGGGAAGCTGGTAATCGAGTTCGGAAAGTCTTCAGGAAGCAAGCTATAATCTGGCTTCAGAGACTTTGACGCACTACTCTAGCTAAATAGACGCGATGTAGTACATAGCTCACGAATGATGATATTCAACTGTGCCTTTCATGTAGTGGGTGGCTCTTTCCTTGGTGACTCGATCACAATTGCAGCACTATAGCTAGCACGACACATCTACAGACATGAGAGTGCGTCAACATCACAAGCTCAGCGTACACGAGCGACGGACAATCATTCCTTTAGAAGCAGCTTATCTTGTTGAACAGTCTAGTCATTCATTCCTTAACATCTATCAAAATAAGAAGCAAGAGCCACTCAGCGCCGACCGCGTCACCATGAGTCTCAAACTCCGACCATACGACTCCAGCATGTCCCCCGATTTAACCATCTCCCAATCAACCTTGGACTCCGAACCTTCCCCTTCATCAGTCGACGTGAGTCAAGCCAGATGAGACCGGAATCCACAGACTGACGATCTCCTTCGCAGAGATACTCCGCAGCGCTAGACGCCCTCAACGCCAGCAATCACAACCTCGAATACAAGCTCGCCAAGATCCAGTCGCGCAATCTGCGCCTCAAGCTCGACCTGATGAGACTCCAACGACACATTACATCGTTTCATCACGATCTCCTGGCTACCTGGGAAGCCGACATCCTGACGAGCCTGATTGAGGTGGTTTACCGACGGCAAGGTCGGAAACTGCACCGCGGACACGACATCGACCTACGAAGGCTCGATCGGAAGGCTCTTTCGGCGATGTATACCATCGCAGCGGGGAGAATCGGCCGGAGGGCACTTAGGAGTTTGTTCGGTCTATCGCAGCATTATTGGTTAGCGTTGCAGAAGTATGATGAGGTGAGATGACTCAGATTCATGATGTCGGTTGCTGTATCTGACTGAGTAGGTTGCGCATCTGCGAAGTACGAGTCCTTCCCGTACGGAGGGGACGTTTGCTCGATGGTTGATGACGGAAAGGGAGACGAATCCTAAACGAGCGGGTTTCTGGGCCAGATTGTTTCCTATTTGTTATGGTAGGACTGTGGAGGAGAGCTCGAAGATGGTATGAGGATAGTTCTGGGCGACAGGAGCATAGAGAGTGTAGCTGATGTGGACGAGTCTTTCCTTTTGATGCCGTAGATAGAGAGTATTGCTATGTTTATTTTACAGGATTAGTTGGGTTGCTTTGAGCCCTAGCTTGATGTCTACGATGACTCGCCGTTAGGAGTCAGTCAAACCCAGATTTTGGTGAGCGTGGCCGGGTGGCGTCAAGCTCTTTCTAAGGGACTGTTTCAAGTCCAGGCAGGAGGATACTCTGCAGAACTACGACTTGTACATGGTCAAATGTAGTTGTAGTAGTGTATTCTCAGCAATTCAGAATAGCTTTACCATCATCCATTCCAGAGCCCGTACACCAGCTTCCTCAAAATCATACAACTGCCAGTCAGCGCATGCTAGAAACCTGAAAGAACTCGCTGGAAGCACCCTGGGACACCAAATTCTACACACGCAAGCCCTGCGACAGGGAATCGACGGACAGCCTGCTATTCTGGGCAGGCAAATGTGAAACTAGTGCATGGCGGTTGGGCCTTGGGAACTCCATCCATTCGCCGATTGCCAAATCACCATTCGTGCCCGCAGACGTTGAGGAAGTGGTCCGTAGCTATTGGACTGTGTGGTATGAGCCTGATCCCTGATATGTTATTCTGATGTTATTCTGTCTCAATTGTCTCTTTGAGTAGTTAGTCGCTGGGTGATTGGTGTCGTCACTCTGGTGCCTTTGGGCTTGTAGTTCAGGCAGTACCTGCTGGAGAGAGTCACTATCTCATTGTGCGCAATGCAGTCAGCAGTACAAGCGATGTGACTTGGATACACCACAGGAATTGACCGGTAGATAGATCCATGTTGCCGAGGTGGCTGGCTGTGATTGTACATTCGGACGAAAATAAACCGAACAAATCGCAGAAATTGATGCTGAATAACCCAATCGACAAATGAAGGCATGTAGACGAGCCATGGGTGCAACAGCAAATTGTAGTCGGCCACAACCTGGACGTGGTTGAGTCTGGCGTGGAACGCGGGCTTTATTTAGTATACGCGACTCAGACATTGTGTCGTTAGCGGCAGGGTGAGACTATTCGTAGACACGGAAACCAGACACCTGGGGCGTGTTAAGCTCAGATTCAGCTACACATGACAGTGCAACGATATAGTTGGCAGTAGATAGAGGCGGACGGGACTATCTTTTTTGATTCTGCTGCTTTTGATGAAGCCTGGCTGTGGTTAGAAATAGATACCCGGTTGTAGTGGTTACTGTGCTGGTTAACCAATGCATTTCTCATGGCGGATGTGGTGGGCGCCACCTGTCTGCCACCGTGCCAGCCCGACGCAACATCTGAGCACAACAATCATCACTCGGTTCCGATCAATCAGTACCTCTCTATTCAGCAAGATACAAAGAAGGATCGATTGCATCTGCAGGAACCTGCAGATCATCATCCAAGAGAAGTTCCTAAACTCTGAACTGATCGGGCCATCGGTCGACTTGAAAGTCCGTCGACCAGACGGTGACGATAAATATGAAGTCATGCAGATGAAGTAAGGTCTTGTCTTCTCAGCCATCCCACCGGAGTTATCACCGCACAGCTTTCCTGGGGGTGAGATCGACGGTCGGGTTTGCTTTGGAGTTTGGATGGGTGGCTATGCAATCGCTGCTAGGAGTCAGTTGAGCGGGAAGGGTGAAACATTTTCTGTTTTCGATTAGGGTTTGGCGAAGATCAGAGACCAGGGCAACCGTGGGAAGGAAACTTTTGGGGGCGGCGTTCCTGATTTTGAGATGTGATGAGATGAGATGGAAGGAATCAAATCAAAGTTTCTGGATAGATAGATAGACTGATACCTTAGCATCAGCATGTGTATGCCAACGTCAGCGTCAACGTCAACGCAACGCACGCAACACCACACAACGTGTTGGTTAGACCGTTAGATTAACCAAACCAACCTTGGGCGACTGGCGACAAGCCAGGAGTAACCAGACTATTGAGCTTTTGTTCCATCTCCCTTGGCTATCTATTTGCTCTCCAGATAATTTGCAAGCTTCGACTATCATTAACCTGCCAGGCTCCTGCATTAGTCTAGATAGTGTACTCCGGACTTGCACCTGCACCAGCAGCACTTGCAGTCCAGTCTTCTGGTAAATCCTTGGTTTTTCTAACCCGCGCTTGGCAATTAAACGGGGTCCTGAGCGCAACTATACTCCGTAGTAATGCGCTAATAGAGTAGAAATCTACAGTAATCTAGTCAAGCCGTTGTTATATCTCTGGTTAGTGACTTGGCACAGGAGACTACACCCGCGTTCTGTATTATGATTTATGAGACCAAAGGTAAGGGTTCAACTCCTACCGGTCTCATTTTGAGTCGTGCTGATTAGGTGCCGAGGCAAGGAATCTAGGGTACCTGGCAGGGAGGGGCATGCGTGCTGGAGATTTCTCTGAGGCCAAAGGACGCCTGCCTCCACTCCTGAATTCGCTTTCATCAATTCAGAACCGGCTAAAATCAATCTTTCAAAATTTGGTAGAGGACAATACTTCCGGGCAGAATCCCAATCCCACATGGTTGATAGATGAAGGTAGTCTTGGCGGAGTGACTCTACCCAAACAGTTAGTAACATTTTCCTGTTATTGGTTAGAGTCCCCTCCGTAGTATTAACGGGATTAATAGTTTAAGACTGCCGTTTTAACTTCTTATTGTTGATCAGCAAGTAAGCTCTTTCCTTTAGTCGCACGGTTGAGCTTGATGGTGGTGGTCTCATGGTTAGTCTGGTGCCGATCTGTTGATACTATTCGCCCGGCCCATATTCCTTCACAGGTGTAGACTAGTGTACCTTGGTAGTACATGGGGAATGCGAGGCATGAACTGGGGGATTTGACCTTTTAGAGCTGCATAGGCGCCGCAAGGGAGGTTCGCAAGGCTAACCAGATCAGGACAGTGAAGCTCTCTGAATTATCAAAAAGTAGGGCAGCAGAAGTCGGTTCCTATTAGTTTGCTGTGTTGCTGCGATGCATGGTATACAAATTAAAGTACCGCTGGATACTGCAGGGATATCACCAGGGTTTCTTGGATAAGCACCTAAGGACTAGATACGCCGTACACAGCACTCCATAGTAATCATAATTAGATCTAGGACACCGCACCCACAACATTCCATGGATCATCCGTGCTTCCACAACCAAATCCTGCAACAACGTGGACTTCAACCTTGTCCTTAGGAGCCTGAGGCAACACCATCATCGGCAAATCAGAGACGCTGTCCTTGTCGGTTCAGAGGGAGATGTTCTTTAGGCATTGAGATGGGTAGATAAACTGTTAGAGACATCGGAATCGACGGTCACCCCGAGGGTCCGACACAAACCGAACCGCTGCTAAAGTTTAGTGCCTGAACCAAGGTTAGAGGTTGATGGATGGACCCAAGGTGCTAGTTATCTAGGCATCCATCATGTGTATTGAGGAATCAGGATCGCAACTAGAGGAAACGGAGTTCCCCCGAAGATTCGCCGACATATACTTTCTGGTTGGTTTCAAGCGAGAAAGAAGAAAAAAAGGTTCAGGGTCGTACCACACTATGACACCATGACTTGAAAACTAGGCTAAGGGGCCTAGGTACGTACAAGAGCCGAGCGTCAACAACATCACTCAGTTGTAAAGCCGACGGGACTCGGTAGATTCGACTGCATTTTTGGAGTGGCCGTAATTGTATTTTTTTCTTCTCTTCTAGATAAGGTTTCTATAGCCTCTGCTACCCGACAAAGTAAAGAGTACCTACGACCTAGAAGGTCCAAGTGACCCAAACTCGTCTGTTATAAACTAGTAATCGACGATACGATGATAACCAGCCTTATGATTAAGGTAGATAGCTATTTCGGATGCCAGGAATAGGATCCTGTAAGCTTCTACGGAGTCGTAGTAGATTATGTTCTGCAATCCCTACCCGTCCCTCTTGTCTCGGCCATGGCCCTGAGCCGAACATAACTCGGCTCCGAGAATCCTCGAAGGATTGTCCATTCTTATCCACGGAGAAATAGTAGGCACCCGCCTTCAAGCTCGAGGGACAAGAATATCCGGACTACTCCGTATCTCTCGGCAGCATAATTCTGAAATGGTTCTCGCTGATCAGTGATCATACTGGGGGCCGATGCCCCACTTCAGTCGCCGAGTATTTCGGTGCGGAAGCGATAGTTAGCCCTAGCGAATAACGATAATCTACCGAGTCCTCCGTAAATAATTACCACGTTGACCTCGGTGAAGCCGTGAAGGAGCAGCGGTCAAGCCTCTTCCGTGCTTCAGCTAGCCTTTGAGATTGGACGCTGCCGAATTCTGGTACTATGTAGTACTATTAGTAGTAGTTGATCAACTACTTTCTGCTCTAGCGATATTTGGTGAATGGTGCGGCGGTGGACGCTTCGAAATGGTTCTAGTGATCTGCTGCTTGTGGTATTAGTCTGACCAACTAACTTTCCCGCCCAGTTCAGTTATTTTCCGTGAGGGACAGAGGGACACCCAGACAAGAAAGGACTCTGGGGCAGGAGACTGGCAAGGTCCGAAGGTTGGAAGATCATTGGCGATCTGCGGTTCTTTTTTCCTTTTTTTTTTTTTTTTTTTTTTTTTTTTTTTTTT